AGACTCAGGATTATCTGCACATTGCACCTACCTCCAACACCCTTCACATTTTACGTGTCAAGCTCATGATCTCAATTCGAGTGCAAGGAAAGCCTTTCAACATTACAGTGATCCAAATATACGCCCCAACCACAGCTGCTGAAGAAGCAGAAGTAGATCAGTTCTATGAGGATCTGCAGGACCTACTGGATAATACACCAAAAAGAGACATTATTTTCATTACAGGAGACTGGAATGCCAAGGTGGCAAGTCAAATGACAACTGGGATCACAGGCAAGCATGGTCTGGAGAACAAAATGAAGCGGGACGCAGGCTGATAGAATTTTGCCAGGAAAACTCGCTGTGTATAACGAATACTCTCTTCCAACAACCTAAAAGACGGCTTTACACATGGACCTCACCAGCCGGTCAACACCGAAATCAGATTGACTACATCCTTTGCAGCCAAAGGTGGCGGACATCCATCCAGTCGGTGAAAACAAGACCTGGGGCTGACTGTAGCTCAGATCACGAACTTCTTATTGCCAAATTTAGAATAAAACTAAAGAGATCAGGGAAAATACACAGACCAGTTAGATATGATCTCACTAACATTCCTAGTGAATATACAGTGGAAGTGAAGAACAGATTTGAAGGACTAGATTTAGTAAACAGAGTCCCAGAAGAACTATGGACAGAAGTCCGAGACATTGTCCAGGAGGCGGCAACAAAGTACGTCCCAAAGAAAAAGAAAACCAAGAAGGCAAAATGGTTGTCTGCTGAGACACTGGAAGTAGCCCAAGAAAGGAGGAAAGCAAAAGAAAACAGTGATAAGGGGAGATATGCCCAGTTAAATGCGCAATTTCAGAGGTTAGCCAGAAGAGATAAGGAACTATTTTTAAATAAGCAATGCATGGAAGTGGAAGAAGACAACAGAATAGGAAGGACAAGAGACCTCTTCCAGAAAATTAGAAACATTGGAGGTAAATTGCAGGCAAAAATTGGTATGATAAGAAACAAAGATGGCAGGGACCTAACAGAAGCTGAAGAGATCAAGAGAAGGTGGCGAGACTATACAGAAGATCTGTATAGGAAGGATAATAATATTGAGGATAGTTTTGACGGTGTGGAGAATGAATTAGAACCAGACATCCTGAGGAGTGAGGTTGAATGGGCCTTAAGAAGCATTGCTAACAACAAGGCAGCAGGAGACGACGGGATCCCAGCTGAACTGTTTAAAATCTTAAAAGATGATGCTGTCAAGGTGATGCATGCCATTTGCCAGCAAATATGGAAAACACAAGAATGGCCATCAGACTGGAAAAAATCAACTTATATCCCCATACCAAAAAAGGGAAATGCGAAAGACTGCTCAAACTTCCGTACAGTGGCCCTTATTTCTCATGCCAGTAAGGTAATGCTCAAGATCCTGCAAGGAAGATTCCAGCAATACATGGAGCGAGAGTTGCCAGATGTTCAAGCTGGGTTTAGAAAAGGTAGAGGAACGAGAGACCAAATTGCCAATATCCGCTGGATAATGGAGAAAGGCAGGGAGTTTCAGAAAAACATCTACTTCTGCTTCATTGACTATTCTAAAGCCTGACTGTGTGGATCATAATAAATTGTGGCAAGTTCTTGGTGGTATGGGGATACCAAGCCACCTTGTCTCTCTCCTGAGGAATCTGTACAAGGACCAAGTAGCAACAGTAAGAACTGACCATGGAACAACAGACTGGTTCAAGATTGGGAAAGGCGTACAGCAAGGCTGCATACTCTCACCCAACCTTTTTAACTTGTATGCAGAACACATCATGCGATGTGCGGGGCTTGATGAATGCAAAGCTGGGTTGAAAATTGCTGGAAGAAACATTAACAACCTCAGATATGCAGATGACACCACTCTGATGGCCGAAAGCGAGGAGGAGCTGAGGAGCCTTCTAATCAAGGTTAAAGAAGAAAGCGCAAAAGCCGGGTTGCAGCTAAACGTCAAAAAAACCAAGATTATGGCAACAAGAATGATTGACAACTGGAAAATAGAGGGAGAAACCGTGGAGGCCGGGACAGACTTTGTATTTCTAGGTGCAAAGATTACTGCAGATGCAGACTGTAGCCAGGAAATCAGAAGACGCTTACTTCTTGGGAGGAGAGCAATGTCCAGTCTCGATAAAATAGTGAAGAGTAGAGACATCAGACTGGCAACAAAGATCCGCCTAGTCAAAGCCATGGTATTCCCTGTAGTCACCTATGGATGTGAGAGCTGGACCTTAGGGAAGGCCGAGCGAAGGAAGATCGATGCTTTTGAGCTGTGGTGTTGGAGGAAAGTGCTGAGAGTGCCTTGGACTGCGAGAAGATCCAACCAGTCCATCCTCCAGGAAATAAAGCCCGACTGCTCACTTGGAGGGAAGGATATTAGAGACAAAGTTGAAGTACTTTGGCCACATCATGAGGAGACAGGAAAGCTTAGAGAAGACAATTATGCTGGGGAAAATGGAAGGAAAAAGGAAGAGGGGCCGACCAAGGGCAAGATGGATGGATGGCATCCTTGAAGTGACTGGATTGACCTTGAAGGAGCTGGGGGTGGTGACGGCCAACAGGGAGCTCTGGCGTGGGCTGGTCCATGAGGTCACGAAGAGTCGGAGACGACTGAACGAATGAACAACAACATGCTGTGTTGTCGGTGGCCTTGGCCATTGTAAGCCGCATTGAGTCCTTCGGGAGATTTTGCGGGGTATAAATAAAGTTAATAACAATAATAATAATAATAATAATAATAATAATAATAATAATAATAACTTAGTGCCCACACCAGTCCATAGAAGGAGATGCGGTCTCAAAGGTAGCTTGGACCCAAACTGTATAGGGCTTTGTAGGTGATAACTTTGAATCGGGACCGGAAACTCGTTGGAAGCCAGTGGAGCTGCTTTAGCAGGGACATCGTATTCTCCCTATAACCAGCCTAAATTAGTAATCTGGTTGCCAATCTTTGCCCTAACTGGAGTTTCATTCTGCACTTCCCATATTTCCGTGCACCAAACCAAGCTTTGTGTTGATCCCCAATATTGTCCTGTACCAAAGTCAATGTTTGTGGTGATTCTTCAAATGTTTCCCCAACTTACTGCATTATACAGAACACCAAAATGAAGGGGAAAAAAAAGGTTTTTTGCGTGTTCATGATGCTTCAGGACAGAGTTCGGATTCTGCAGGAAAATCAAGGACAGAATAAGACTTCCATGAGCCAAAAAGGTTGGGAATATCAGATAGGATCCCAAGAGCATCTAGTCCAGTTCTGCAAGGCAGTAATACATAGCTACAGCAACCTGGAAATATGTCAAACTTCTCCCACAAAAGGAGAATTTGCCACCTTTTGAGACAATCTATTCCACTATCGAGTGGCATTGACAGTCTTTAACCCAAGACCAAGCAGTCATGGATGCTGTACTTTTCAAACGGCAAAGAATCCTGCAAGGTTGATGAATGCAAGCCCTGCTTTTGCCACCAATCCCAAAACCTATCACTACAACAATGCTTTCACTGAACTCTCCAAGGTACTCAGTTGCTGTGCGATTTTGAGCTCTAGGGCCATGTTAAAGTAGCATTCTCTCCTAATGTTTTGCCTGCATCTGTGGCCAGCATCTTCAGAGGTTCTTCTGTTGGCAGTGAAGCAAGCAGAGTAGTACATATATGTGTGTGTGTGTGGAATAATGTCCAGGGTGGGAAAAAGAACCCTTGTCTGCTTGAAGCAAGTGTGGATGTTGGAATTAACAAGCCCAAATAGTATTGAGTAGCCATGAAGCTGAAAAGTCAATCAGTGAGGGTATTGAGGCAAGTTGTGTGTGTATGTGTGTGTATTCTGTGGAATAATGTCCAGGGTGGGAGAAAGAACCCTTGTCTGTTTGAAGCAAATGTGGATATTGGAATTAGCAGGCTCAAAAAGCATTGAGTAGCCATGAAGCTGCAAAGTCAATAAGTGAGGGTATTGAAGCAAGCGGAGTGTGTGTATTCTGTGGAATAATGTCCTGGGTGGGAGACAGGACCCTTGTTTGTTTGAAGCAAATGTGGATATTGGAATTAGCAAACTCAAATAACATTGAGTAGCCACAAAGCTGCAAAGTCAATCAGTGAGGGTCTTTGCATAGAGGTAGTGAAGCAAGCAGTGTGTGTGTGTGTGTGTGTGTGGACTAGTGTCCAAGGTGGGAGAAAGAACCCTTGTCTGCTTGAAGCAAGTGTGAATGTTGCAATGAGCCAATTTGAATAGCATTGAGTAGCCATGAAGTTTGCAAAATCAGTCAGTGAGGGTTTCTGCATAAAGGTAGTGAATCAAGTGGCGTATCTATCTATCTGTGGACTAATGTCCAGGATGGAAGAAAGGACCCTTGCTTGCTTGAAGCAAGTGTGGATGTTGCAATTAGCAAGCTCAAATAGCATTGAGTAGCCATGAAGCTGCAAAGTCAATCAGTGAGGGTATCTGCGTAGAGGTAGTGAAGCAAGCAGAGTGTGTAGGTATGGATATGCATATGCATATATATATTTGTGGACTAATATCCACGGTGGGAGAAAGAACCCTTGTCTGTTTAAAGCAAGTCTTCTTTGCTTTGTTTCTGGGCAATGCTGCTGCGTTTGGTGATCCCTATGTAGACGCCTTGTTCACAGCTTCACAGAATATAGTAGACTCTCCAAGGTATTGGAGAGTGTCTTTGCCACGCCACTTTCCAGCTTTGCTAGGATCAGAACCCAAGACTTTTTGCTTGCCGCTTGGGCCCCAAAACCCTCTTTTGCCTTGGTTCAACTTCACGCTACCACTAGAAGAAAGGCAGAGGAGGAAAGTGGCAATGTTCCTTCCAAAATAGGCCTTCCGCACACTTAGACTTCCTGGTCGAATCTGTCCTTTCCCCAGAAGTACTGTGTGGGTAGACCCTTGCCTGCACACAGCCGTACGGTTTGAAAGGAGGTCTCCTTTGCAGGGAAACAACAACCCTCTTTGCTCTTTTCTTTTCTTCTCTCCCCAAGGCTCCTTATGCGCCATGGCCTTCAGGATGCAGCTGGCTCTGGGGTGGATTGCGGCTGCCTTCCTCCTCCTTCCGGCTTCCAGCTCAGGTAAGAGCGGAGGCGGGACATGTTCCTCTCCCAGCGTTAATAAGACCAACGGGACTACATATACCATTTCGGGACGAAAACTCCTAGCATTGCCTAAGCAGAGATGCTGCAAATATATGTCACAAAGCCGGTTATGTACATCCCGCATCAGTGACAACAAGAGTCTGAACTTTGTGCCACCGTTAACATGTACATTATGGTTTTCTTCATTGTGCTATCTGTGAAATAGTAGTCTTAAAAGTATTTCCATTGGACAACAGTGTCTGTTTTCAAACATACTGTGTTTGCACTATTTACGAGAAGGGATAGGAACCGTATCAATAACACTATTCTTACTTTTTACTTACATAGCCGATCCCTCGTTGTCCGAGTAGGATTGTCTTCCAAGTGCGGTGTCCTGGCGGTAGGTCCGTAGGTGACTGTAGAGCCCTATTCTTGACCCGCATGTTCTCCCACAGTGAGGGGATCAGTTTCCAGGTGGAAAGTGGTCTCGGTCGCGGTTGGCTTGACGCACCTTTCTCTTGCCACATTTCTCTCTTTTGCACTTGCAGAGCTCAGGCGGTGTTGTATTTCAGTGACAATGTTGACTCTGGTGGAGAGGTGGCTGCCAAGGGAGCGGAAAAGTTCAACATTTTCTAATGTTACACCATTAAGCTGTATTTCTGGCATTGGAGAGGGATTGGCTGGTGACTGATGGAAGAGCACTTTGGTTTTTTCAATGTTCAATGACAGGCCGAGCTTCTCGTATGCTTCTGCGAAGGGGTTTAGAGTGGCTTGTAGGTGTTCTTCTGAATGTGCACAGACAATGTTGTCATCAGCATATAGTAGAACTCCAATAACATTAAGCAACACCATTTTTGTTCTTTCCAACTCTGAATGATTGCCGAATTACCAAAATTTCACCTATGTTGTCAAAGGCTTTCATGGCTGGAATCAATGGATTGGTATAGGTTTTTCGGGCTGTCTGGCCATGTTCTAGAAGCATTCTCTCCTGACGTTTCACCTGCATCTATGGCAGGCATCCTCAGAGGTTGTGAGGTCTGTTGGAAACTAGGAAAATTTTCCTAGTTTCCAACAGACCTCACAACCTCTGCGGATGCCGAAAGACACCTACTAACCCAAGGAGTGACCATCACTAAAAAAATTGATTTTGTCATTTGGGAGTTGTAGTTGCTAGGATTTATAGTTAACTTACAATCAAAGAGCATTCTGAACTCCACCAACAATGGAATTGAACCAAACTTGGCACACAGGACGCCCATGACCAACAGAAAACACTAGAAGGGTTTGGTGGGCATTGACCTTGGGTTTTGAAATTGTAGTTCACCTACATCCAGGGAGCACTGTGGACTCAAACAATGATGGATCTAGACCAAACTTGGCACAAATACCTCATATACCTGAATATGAACACAGATGGAGTTTGGGGGAAATAGACCTTGACATTTGAGAGTTGTAGTTACTGGGATTTATAGTTCACCAACAATCAAAGAGCATTCTGAACCCCACCAATGATAGAATTGGGCCAAACTTCCCACACAGAACCCCCAAGACCAACAGAAAATACTGTGTTTTCTGGTGGTCTTTGGCAACTCTTCCAACACCCCCTCGCAACCCCCCCTCCCAGATGTCCCGACCCCCAGGTTGAGAAATGCTGCCTTCAGGCCATCCAGTCCAACTCCCTTCACCAGGGCAAGAAAACAAAATCAAAGCCCTCCTGACAAAGAGCCATCCAGCCATCGATATAGATATATATGATTCACACACGCACATATATATGTATATGTCAGATATAGTATCATAGATTTGAAAGGGACCCCTAAAGAATGACAATGATATGTTGCATGTTCCAGAGTAGGCAAACCAGACAATCTCTACATCAACACTGACAAAGAAACAGCAAGAAATACCATTTACCCACAAGCATAAAGAAATTACATATATTAGAAACCAGCACCATCTCATTACTTTATTTTCCAGATCACCAGAGTGGGCCACAGCAACGCCTGGCAGGGGACAGCTAGTATACTATAACTTTGTTCTCAATTCGCTTCTGACATGATAAATAAATAAACAAGAGTCTGGATGACCATCTGCCAGGAAGGATCGGATTGTGTTTTCCCACCTGACCAAAGAGGGGTCAGACTGGATGGCCCTTGGGGTCCCTTCTGATTCGATCATTCCAATGTGAAAAATGCACAGGTGATAACTGTCTGGCACCAGCCTGGGAAGGTGGAAATCGAACCCAGCGGGAAGCAAATGCTGTGCATCAGAGGTGGAATATGACCAAAGGCATCAGAAGTCGGGAAGCAAGGCGCTTTTGTCGCGTCCGCTTCAGATCCCCATTGCCTCTCCCCCTTGGGCTTTTGTTGATCAGCCGAGATGGTTGTTTTTATGTCCTAAGCGTTGTAAGTCGATCTGTTTAGCTTGCATCTCCAAACCGCTCGCTCGCTCGCTATGTGCCGCCGCCTCGTCGTTGTTTCTATTTTGTTCCAAATTCATATTCTAGGAGCGGAGGGAACGTTCTGTCCGCAGCGGATAAATCGCTCAAACTCGTCCGCTTGAACCTTTTGGGGAATCTAGCCGTCGTCAGCCCCAAGTCCTTGGGGAGGAAAGGGGGCTGCGAGTAATTGCTTTTGGGCAAGTAGTAGTGAAGCAGGAGAGACAAAACCCAGAGGTGAAACATCTCCAGACTTTGAGGCCCATCAACTCCTTGGGTTGCTTGATCTCCAACGGAGTGCATGGAGCGCATTTAGGGTCAATGCAGTCACACGTAGAAACCCCATAAACTTTGATTTTGCAGTAGTAGGAGGACCAAATTCTCCGCTTGGCAACACACGGTGCCAAGGTAGTCCCTCCCGTGGAGCTCAAGACGTGTGCCATTGATGGCTTGGAAAACACGGAGAGCCAAGCCTTAATCACCACTTAATCGGCCAGCTGTCAAGCCTTCGCTGCGCCGAAGGAGATGTCGGCTCCGGTGGGAGACTTAATGTTCCCATTGCATGCTTCCTTCTGCTTTGGGGATCCCAAGGAACACAATGGCGCTGATGACAATTTCCCAGTGAGTCAGGAGCTCCTAATCCACCCATTTGTCCCGCTGACGAATATGGTAAGGCCTCCAAAAAGAAGCTGAGACCTGGCTCAAAAGCCTCCCTATTACTCCTTGCAATGGATTATTTACTAGAGTATATGCCTGGGTGAAGGAGGGATCATTTCCCCCTGCTTCATCCTTTCTTTCCTTTCCCCCTTTCCTCTCTTGTCCTTCCTTCCTTTTTCTTTCTTCCCCCTTCCCTCACTACCTTCCTTTCTTCCCTTCTTTTTCTCTTTCCCGCTTTCCTGCCACTCCTCAAGTTACCTTTTCCAGCTCCAAGGTCTTCTTTCTCCCTTCTCCAGAAAGAAGGCCCACTTTCCCCTTTTTCCAGCTCTGAGACAGTCTTTTTTCTTCCTTCTCCAGCTCTGAAAAGGCCTTCTTTCTTCCACCCCCAGAAAGAAGGTCTGCTTTCTCTCTTTTCCAGCTCCGAGGTCTTCTTCCTTCCTTCTCCGTCTCTGAGAAGGTTTCCCTTCTTCAGAAAGATGAGCCACTTTCTCCTTTTTCCAGTTTGGAGATGGTACTTTTTCTTCCTTCTCCAGCTCTGAGGAGGCCTAGTTTCTTCCATCTCCAGAAAGAATGTCCACTTTCTCCTTTATCAAGCTCTGAGATGTTCTTCTTCCTTCTCCAGCTCTGAGAAGGCCTTATTTCTCCCATCTCCAGAAAGAAGGCCCACTTTCCTCCTTCTCCAGCTTTGAGAAGGCCTTATTTCTCCCATCTCCAGAAAGAAGGCCCACTTTCGCCTTTTTCCAGGTCTGAGATGGTCTTCTTTCTCCAGCTCTGAGAAGGCCTTCTTTCTCCCTTCTCCAGAAAGAAGGCCTACTTTCTCCCTTTTCCAGCTCAAAAAAGACCTAATGTCTCCCTTCTCCAGCTATGAGAAGGTTTACTTTCTCCCTTTTTCAGAAAGAATGCCTTCTTCCTCCCTTTTCCAGCTCAAAAAAGACCTAATGTCTCCCTTCTCCAGCTATGAAAAGGTTTACTTTCTCCCTTTTTCAGAAAGAATGCCTTCTTTCTCCCTTTTCCATCTCCAAGAATGTCTTCTTCCTCCCTTTTTCCAAGAAGAAGACCTACTTTCTCCCTTTTCCAGCTCCGAGACAGTCTTCTTTCTCCCTTCTGCTGCTCTGAGAGGGCTTACCTCTCAATGTCTCCATGGCAAAGGGGCTTTCTCTGCGACTCCTCCCTCCCTCCTTCCCTCCCTTCCCCTCATACATAAACAGATCGCCTTTCTTTCCCAGTGACATCAAGAGGGCCACTTCACCTAGCAATAGGCTTTTCAGTGCAAACAGACAGAGAGATGGACAGACGGGCATAAAAACATCATGGGACTAAGCAATTGTAAGAGCTGTTTATCAATGTGCCTCTCTCCGCAGTGAGCCCGAGTGTCCTGAACATTGACTACTGTGTCACTTTCTGGGCAAAAAACATTACCTGCTACTGGGATCTACTGCCCGAGACACATCCTCCAACAACGTACGTGCTCCATGTGACAGAGTAAGTTGCTTTTTTAGTCTTTTGCGTCTGATAAATCTATTTCGTACTAGTATCTCAGGCATCATTGAGATTTCTGCCTGCCCACTTTCTCCCTTCTCCAGTTCTGTCTCCATGACAAGGCTTGCTTTGTGGCTCTTTGCTTCCTTCCTGTGTTTCCCTCACGTATCTCTCCCTCTCTTTTCTTCATTTCTTTCCTTCTTCCCTTGTTTTCCCTCATACACCTTTCCCCTCTTCTTCTTTTTCTCCTTTCTCTTCCTTCCTTCCTTTTTCTTTCTTCCCCCCTCTCTCTCTCTTCCTTCTCCTTTCCTTTCTCTTCCTTTTTCTTTCTCTCCTTCCCTCTCTTCATACCCGTTCCCCTTTCTATTCCCTTTCTCTTTCCTCATACACCTTCCACACTCTTCTTTTCCCTTCTCTCTTTCATTCATCCCGTCTGTCTCTTGTTTCTTTCTTCCTTTCTCTTCCCTTTTTTCTTTCTTTCCTTCCTCTCTCCCTTCTTCCCTCCTTACTTTCATCATTCTCCCCACTCCCTCCTGTCCTTCCTTTCCCCATTCTATCTCTTCCCTTCTTTTTCTCCTTCTTTCTTTCCTTCCTTCCTCATACCTTTGGGTTTTCTTTCTTTCTTTCTTTCATTGCTTTCCATACACATTCCCCACTCTTCCTCTTTCCTTTTTTCATTCTTCTCCCTCTCTTCCTTCCTTTCTCTTCCCTTTTCTCTTTCTTTCCTTTCCTCCCTTCATACCTTTCCCCCTTCCTTTCCTTCTTCTTCTCTCCTTCCTTTCTTCCTTCTCCCTCCCATGCTTCCCTTTCTTTCTCTTCCCTTCTTATTCTTCTTTTGTTCCTCATACCTTTCCCCTTTCTTTCTTTCTTTCTTTCTTTCTTTCTTTCTTTCTTTCTTTCCTTTTTTTCTTTCTTCCATTGCTTTCCGTCACACACCTTCCCCACACTTCTTTCTTTCCATTCCCTTCCCTTATTTCATTCTCCTCTCTTCCTTCTTTCCTCCCTCTCTTCCTTCCTCTTCCTTTTCCTCTCTGTTTCCTTCCCTCCCCTCATACATTTCCCTTTCCCTTCCTCTCTTTCTTCTTTCTTCATTCTCCTTCCTCCCGAACTTCCTTTTCCCTTTCTTTCTCTTCCCTTCTTTTTCCCTTCCTTCCTTCCTTCCTTCCTTCCTTCCTTCCTTCCTTCCTTCCTTCCTTCCTTCCTCCCTCCCTCCCTCCCTCCCTCCCTCCCTCCCTTCCTTCCTTCTTTCCTTCCCCTCACACATAGGTCCAGGTCCAACAAGCCATGTATCTATTATCATCATCATCATCATCATCATCATCATCATCATCATCATCATCGTTGTTGTTGGGTTGCTGTGAGTGTTCCAAGCTGTCTGGCTATGTTCCAGAAGCATTCTCTCCTGATGTTTCACCCACATCTAAGGCAGGCATCCTCAGAGGTTGTGAGGTCTGTTGCTGTGGTTGTTACTGTTTTATTTCTTACCTGCCTCTCCTCGAGGTGGGTTACCAAATAATTAAAACATATAAATATTGCATAAACACTACAGATACACGTGTCAAAACGTATTTCTGTAAAATCTACATATTAAAATGAACGAGCCCTCAGATTTTGCTGAACTATATTCTGACACTTGGATGATATAGTTCTACAGTTCCATTTCTTCTTGGCCATGATGGAACGGTGAATCCGTGTTGGGTTTTAGTCCGAGCTGTTGAGTCAGATCCGAAATATACTTGGACCGTGAGAATTAAAACACAGCCCTGGCGACTCCGAAGCCGTAAGAATTGGTGGTTAAAACAACATCCCGTTTCAGGGAATCTGGACGTTGCCGGCGTGACTTCGGGGGCCCCATGCAATGTGTTGTCGGGCCGGGAGAGCGTTCCTGCAGCATCCCCATTGAAAATCTCTTCGCTTTCTACAAAATCCGACTCGTAGGGAAGAACCAAGATGGCCAGCTGAGCTCTTCGGAGACGTGCATCCATGGGATGAGCGTTGGTAAGGAGCACGGGTTTGGTAACATGTCCTAACCTCGAGGGGGGAAATGGTATCGAGGTCTTTCCCCTTGCCCTTTGAGAGCCTCCTTTTTGTCCTCTGCATCCCAGTCAAACTCAGTCCACCAGTGATTGATGCTATCACTGCGAACCACAGCCATTGCTTCCAGGTGTCATGGCACTTGCCAGGGGACGAGATCCTCTCCGCATCGGAAGCCCAATACGAGATCCAATACCAGGACATGGCAGAGAGCTCCTGGATGCAGGTGAGAGCATGGCTTTCGCGTTCGGTCAGTCCTTTCCAATCGCCTACAGCTCTAGGTTCATCTTTGGCCATTTGATTCTATTGGCTCATGTCTGTTAAGAGTCATGGAGGGAACTACAAGGGCCATCTAGTCCAACCCCTTCCATCGAGAGGTGCCCATCCAAGGCTTTCCAATCTGGTTGCTCCTTTCCAATAGCCTATGTCCATTTGATTCCATTGGTTCATGTACAGGTCTGTTAATAGTCATAGAGGGAACTACAAGGGCCATCTAATCCAGCCCCTTCATTGAGAGGTGCTCATCCAACCCTTGTTTAAAGGCTTTCGCATTCTGGTCGCTCTTTCCCAATAGCCTATGTCCATTTGAGAAATGCTCATCAACCCCTTCCATTTGATGCCATTGGTTCATGTATGAGTCTGTTAAGAGTCATGGAGGGAACTACAGAAGCCATCTAGTCCATTGAGAGATGCTCATCCAACCCGTTTAAAGGCTTTCGTATCTGGTTGCTCCTTTCCAATAGCCCATGACTCTAGGTTCCCTAATGTTTAGGAGGACTCCCGTCTTTGCCACTTGATTCCATTGAGTCTTTTAAGAGTCAATGGAGGGAACTACAGAGGCCATCTAGTCCAACCCCATCCATCGAGAGGTGCCCATCCAAGGCTTTTGCATCTAGTTGCTCCTTTCCAATAGCCTATGTCCATTTGATGCCATTGGTTCATGTATGGATCTGTTAAGAGTCATGGAGGGAACTACAGAGGCCATCTAGTCCAACCCCTTCCATCGAGAGGTTCCCATCCAACCTCTATTTAAAGGCTTTTGCATCCGGTCGCTCCTTTCCAATAGCCTACAATTCTAGGTTCCCTAACGTTCAGGAAGACTCCCATATTTGGCCACTTGATTCCACTGAGTCTATTAAGAGTCATGGAGGGAACTACAGAGGCCATCTAGTCCAACCCCTTCCATCGAGAGGTGCCCATCCAAGCCTTGTTTAAAGGCTTTCCAATCTGGTTGCCTCTTTCCAATAGTCTATGTCCATTTGATTCCATTGGTTCATGTATGGGTCTGTTAAGAGTCATGGAGGGAACTATAGAGGCCATCTAATCCAGCCCCTTCCATCGTGAGGTGCTCATCCAACCCTTGTTTAAAGGCTTTCGCATTCTGGTCGCTCTTATCCAATAGCCTATGTCCATTTGAAAGATCCTCATCAACCCCTTCCATTTGATGCCATTGGTTCATGTATGAGTCTGTTAAGAGTCATGGAGGGAACTACAGAGGCCATCTAGTCCAACCCCTTCCATTGAGAGATGCTCATCCAACTCATTTAAAGGCTTTTGTGTTCGGTTGGTTAGTCCTTTCCTATAGCCTATGGTGCTAGGTTGCTTAATGTTTACGAAGATTCTCATCTTTGGCCACTTGATTCCACCGGGGCGTCCATCAGTCCTAGTCTGATTTTTACATCTTCTGTAAGAAAACAATAACTTCTTTTAATAAATGTCTGGTCTGTGCAGCTCTAACCTGCTTTATCCTTTTAAGGTGAACTTCACAGTTGCAGAGGACGCCATTGCCTTTGCCAACGTCTGCAGCCTTTTCCCTTTCACCAACTACTCAGTCCAGGTGCGAGCAAAGTATCTATGTATGTCTTCTCTATTGAACCAATGGGGTCCTTATTGGAGTGACTGGAGCGCCGTGAGATTTGTGCAAACGCGGCCCGCGGGTGAGAAGATTTTTAATTATTTAAACATTTTTTTAAATATCTAAAATAATATTTAAATACACATAATAAAAGTGAAAATATTGTGTGTGTGGCTGGGGTGTCCACTTACACAGACACGCTCCCACCTCCACAAACAGCCATAGCTCCCACTCTCCAGGAGACACCAATGGCCCTCTCTCCAATGACATTGCAGGTTATAGCGAGCGCCATGAGCATGTCCAAGAGCCCTGCCAATGTCCTCCACAAACACCATACTGACCACCACCCAATTGAAGGCTTTCATGCGGGGACAATTCAATCCTAGATGTTCTGTTTTCGCTCCAACACAAATATCCCAGTGTTTCTTTCTCTCTCCATTGGTGTGAAATTTGCATGACCCCGCCCACTGCCTCTCCCTTAATCCGTTCCTATTCTTTCCGATGGCACACAGCAAACAGAGGAATTGATCAGCAACTGAACATACTAGAGAGGTCTGGGAGGAATTCACCATGATTTATAGGAGTTGTAGGTCCTGGGATGTATAGTTTACCTACAATCTAAGAATGGTACTCTAAGCTCCACCAACGATGGACCTGGAACTAACTTGGCTCACAGAACCCTCATGACCAACAAAACATACTGGAGGTCTTTGGTAGGATTTATAGGAGTTCTAGTTCACCTATGAACTAGAGTGCACTATGAACCCAAACAACGATGGATCTGGACCAGTGTTTCTTAACCTAGGGGTTGGGACCCCTGGGAGGGTCGCAGGGGGGGGGGGAGGAGTGTCGGAGGAGTCAACTACAACTCCAAAACCCAAGGTCAATGCCCACCAAACCCTTCCAGAATTTTCTATAAATCCCAGTAACTACAACTCCCAAATGTCAAGGCCTATTTCCCCCAAACTCCATCTGTGTTCATATTTGGGCATATGGAATATTTGTGCCAAGTTTGGTACAGATCCATCATTGTTTGAATCCACAGTGCTCTCTGGATGTAGGTGAACTACAACTCCAAAACGCAAGGTCAATGCCCACCAAACCCTTCCAGTATTTTCTGTTGGTCATGGGAGTTCTGTGTGCCAAGTTTGATTCAATTCCATTATTGGTGGAGTTCAGAATGCTCTTTGATTGTAGGTGAACTTTAAATCCCAGCAAGTACAACTCCCAAATGATAAAATCAACCCCCCTCCAACCTCACCAGTATTCAAATTTGGTCGTATCTGCTATTTGTGCCAAATTTGGTGCAATGAATGAAAATACATCCTGCATATCAGATATTTACATTACGGTTCATAACAGTAGCAATTAGAGTTATGAAGTAGCAACTAAAATAATGTTACGGTTGGGGGTCAGCACAACATGAGGAACTGTATTAAGGGGTCGCGGCATTAGGAAGGTGGAGAAACATTGATCTAGAGCAAACTTGGCATGCATACCCAAACTATATACAATTTTCAACAATACAGTTATGATATTATCTTGGTGTTTCAGCAGTTTAGGTATTATTACACAATACATGATCTGACGTCTATCACTATATACACCCGTTTAAATTATTCTGCCCCCCTCCAGCTCCATTGAAAAACAATAATAAAAAATGAAAAGGGACTGCCTGCCTGTAAGACCTTTGGTAAAAACGACTAAACTATAACTCCTTGCATTTCAGTTCTTTGATTTGATTCTTTGCTGCAGTTCCTTCCAACGGGCCAGCGCTTTGGAGGAAACTAGGGACCCCTGAAGCTGACGGGAAGAGAGCGGTTGTTCTGATGTGGAAGGTAAGCAGGAAAAGTGATAGAGAACTGTGCAGGGAAACGCTATCAAAACCCTCCCAGCAGATGGCCATCCAGTGCACATCCTTTGCCACACAGGAACACACAATCAAAGCCCGGCATCCGACAGATGGTCATCCAGCCTCTGCTTGATCTCATTTCGGGAATCATAGAATCATAGAATCATAGAATCAAAGAGTTGGAAGAGACCTCATGGGCCATCCAGTCCAACCCCCTGCCAAGAAGCAGGAATATTGCATTCAAATCACCCCTGACAGATGGCCATCCAGCCTCTGTTTAAAACTTCCAAAGAAGGAGCCTCCACCACACTCCGGGCAGAGAGTTCCACTGCTGAACGGCTCTCACAGTCAGGAAGTTCTTCCTCATGTTCAGATGGAATCTCCTCTCTTGTAGTTTGAAGCCATTGTTCCGCGTCCTAGTCTCCAAGAAGCAGAAAAGAAGCTTGCTCCCTCCTCCCTGTGGCTTCCTCTCACATATTTATACATGGCTATCATATCTCCTCTCAGCCTTCTCTTCTGCAGGCTAAACATGCCCAGCTCCTTAAGCCGCTCCTCATAGGGCTTGTTCTCCAGACCCTTGATCATTTTAGTCGCCCTCCTCTGGACACATTCCAGCTTGTCAATATCTCTCTTGAATTGTGGTGCCCAGAATTGGACACAATATTCCAGGTGTGGTCTAACCAAAGCGGAATAGAGGGGTAGCATGACTTCCCTAGATCTAGACACTATGCTCCTATTGATGCAGGCCAAAATCCCATTGGCTTTTTTTGGCGCCACATCACATTGTTGGCTCATGTTTAACTTGTTGTCCATGAGGACTCCAAGATCTTTTTCACACGTACTGCTCTCGAGCCAGGCGTCCCCCATTCTGTATCTTTGCATTTCGTTTTTCCTGCCAAAGTGGAGTATCTTGCATTTGTCACTGTTGAACTTCATTTTGTAATTGCACTTCTTTGGGGCTAATTCCTCCTTTCTGGTTGATCCAGCCCTTGGAACCAAAGCAAGCCAATGGCGAGATCCAGGCCTACTGCCTCTACTCCCAGAGGGACGGGGAGCCTGCCGTCCTGCAATGCTACACTCGGGACTTGCAGTGCGCCCTCTCGCTCCCAGCCCGGATAGGGCACACCTTCCTCCTCAGGGCCAGCAACACTGCAGGGGTCTCCCCACCAAGTAAACTGGTGGTCCCACCGTCGGGAGGAAGAGAAGGTAAGGAGTCCGGATTCACATCGGAAGGAAGGGTAGCACTAAAAGAGAGTCATGTTGCTGTTGAGGACATTGGGAGGATGGCTCTCTCAGAGCTGGAGAAAGGAGAAGGGAAGGAAAGAAGGAAATAGGAAAAAAGAAGGGAAAGAAAGGAAAGAAGGGAAAAGAGAAGGAAGAGAGGGAGAGAGGGAGGAAGAGAGGGAGGGAGGGAGGGAGGGAGGAAGGAAGGAAGGAAGGAAGGAAGGAAGGAAGGAAGGAAGGAAGGAAGGAAGGAAGAGAAAAAGGAGGGAAGGAAGGAAAAGAAAGGAAAGTGAAAGCAGCGGGACAACAGTTCCTCCAGACCAGGGATATAGTTAGCAACTTTGCAAAAATCACAATTTTGGCTCTGTTTTCCTTTCTAGATGCTCTCTCCCCGATCCCAGTCCTTGCCTCGCCAGCAGGGGGAAATGGCTTGCTTTTGCAATGGTCCCTTCCCAGCTTTCCGGAAATGGCCTACGTCTTGGAGTGGGGCCCGTTGCCCGAGGAGAAGCGGGACCCCAAGGCTTTCTGGTGCCGTCAGCCTGGGAACGTCAACCAGGCGGTCATTAAGGGTGAGCAAGCCATTTGGGTGGCCAAGCAGGAAGACACAATCTGATCCCTCCCGACAGATGGCCATCCGGCCCCATAGACATTGGCAGGCTTATGGAGAAATATGACTGTAGAACCAAAGGCTTTGAGAGTCAGACGGGACTCCCAAAGGCCATCCAATCCAACCCCTTTCTGCCATGCAGGAAGGCACCATCCGATCCCTCCCGACAGATGGCCATCCAGCCCCACAGACATTGGCAGGCTTATGGAGAAATATGGCTGTAGAACCAAAGGCTTTGAGAGTCAGACGGGATTCCCAAAGGCCATCCAATCCAACCCCTTTCTGCCATGCAGGAAGGCACCATCCGATCCCTCCCGCCAGATGGCTATCCGGCCCCACAGACATTGGCAGGCTTATGGAGAAATACGGCTGTAGAACCGAAGTCTCCAAGAGTCAGAAGGGACTCCCAAAGGCCATCCAATCCGACCCCTTTCTGCCATGCACCAACCGACCCCTCCCAACAGATGGCCCCCTGGCCTCCTAGACATTTAGCGGGTTCATAGAGAACTAGGGCTAAAGAATCAAATTTATTTTAATAATAATAATATCAATTATTATTATTTACTTCATTTGTATACCGTTTTTCTCAGCCCTTAGGCGACTCAAAGCGGTTAACAATCGCAAAAATTCAATGCTAAACATCATAAAAACAGTTAAAAAACAATTAAAACAATAACATAATAAACAATTAAGCAATGTAACATCTCATTAGCATCTCATAAGTAGAATCAAGATCCAATCTCAATTATTATTATTGTCCTTCCTTGCAGAGGCCATCGAACCTGGACGGCTCTATAGCCTCAGGATCTTTGCGCTCCTTGACGGCAGCATTTGGGCCTCAGGATCGACCACCAGTTACTCCAAACAGATAGGTGAGTTTGAAACCAGAATGGATCTTACTTTTATTTATTTTTTTCGTTTTCCCAAATTTTAATTTCTAGGCCACAGCCCGGCTTCCTCAACTAGTAAACTGACCTTTAAACTGACTTCTGGGAATCAAAGGTTTTCAAAAGAAAGCTTTAGGATTTGAACTGAATTTAGAAAGGTTTCAGAGAACTCCAAAAGGGAGGGGCCTGAAGCCAATGGGGAGGGGCCTAGAGCCAAAGGTGAGGGACCTACAGTCAAAGGGTGGGGCTTACCATAAAAAGGTGGAGCCTATAGCCAAGGGGAGGGGCCTAGAGCCAAAGGGGAGTGGCTAAAGCCAAAGGGTGGAACTTACAGTCAAATAAAAAGGTAAAGGTTGTCCCCTGACATTAAGTCCAGTCATGTCTGACTCTGGAGTGTGGTGCTCATCTCCATTTCTAAGCCGAAGAGCCGGTGTTGTCCATAGACACCTCCAAGGTCATGTGGCCAGCATGACTGCATGGAGCACCGTTACCTTCCTGCCGGAGCGGTACCTATTGATCTACTCACATTTGCATGTTTTCAAACTGCTAGGTTGGCAGAAGCTAGGGCTGACAGCGGAAGCTCACGCCGCTCCCCGGAATCGAACCTGCGACCTTTCAGTCAACAAGCTCAGCAGCTCAGTGCTTTAACCCACTGCGCCACTGGGGGCTCCCTTAGGGTCAAATAGATGGGGTCTAAAGCCAAGGGGTGGGGCTAAAGCCAAAGGGGAGGGGCTAAAGCCAAAGGGGAGGGGGCTAAAGCCAAAGAGGAAGGGCTAAAGGCAAAGGGGAGGGGCAAAAGCAAAAGGGGTGGGGTTTAAAGCCAAAGAGGAAGGGCTAAAGCCAAAGGGGTGTGACCTGAAGCCAAAGGGGCAGAGCCAAAAGACTAACATATAGATCTCAACTCCTAATAACAGCCATAGAGAGTCATTTTATTTATTTTTCAAAAAATTGGGTTGTGTATAAAAGGCAATGAGTTGGCCAACGGGACAACTCACCAACAACCAAACCTATCCCAAATTTCCCAACTTTTTTTTGAACTTCCACACTGTTGAATTTGGTAGACATTTGTCATCTGATGTTAAAGGGAATACCGTAAGGTTCTGAACCCAGGATCCTCCCATAATGTTGACGGCTCCCTGGATCTGTTACCCATTAATCCCTTTATCCGTCGCTCTCTTTTCAGCGCCACTCCGGGCGCCAGTTTTATATCCCACCCAAGTCTGGAAAACCCGGATGAAGCTGCAGTGGGAGAAGCTGCCCTTGAAGGAGCGGGGCGGCGTGATCCGGAACTACTCCATTGGGTACAAGGAAGACGGAAAGGAGGAGCGGAGTAAGGCTGGGCTGGGTTGAGCCAGGGAACGAACAGCGGGACTTGGTTCTAGACCCACGGGGTTCCAAACTTTTGGGTGTCATGGAACCCTTCCACGGGGGTGTGTTTTCTGCGGAACCTTGATTGTTTTAGTTGGAATACCATAGAACAGTGTTTCTCAACCTGGGAGTCGGGACCCCTGGGAGGGTCACGAGGAGGTCTCAGAGGGGTCACCAAAGACCATTAGAAAACACAGTATTTTTATTTATTCTGTTGTTCATGGGGGTTCTTTGTGGAAAGTTTGGCCCAATTCTATCATTGGTGGGGTTCAGAATGTTCTTTGATTGTAGGTGAACTACAAATCCCAGCGACTACAACTCCCAAATGTCAAGGATTATTTTCCTCAAACTCCACCAGTGTTCACGTTTGGGCATATTGAGTATTTGTGCCAAGTTTGGTCCAGATCCACCCTTGCTTGCGTCCACAGTACTCTCTGGATGGAGGTGAACTACAACTCCCACACTCAAGGCCAATGCCCACCAAACCATTCCAACATTTTCTGTTGTTCATGGGAGTTCTGTGTGCCAAGATTGGTTCAATTCCATCATTGGTCGAGTTCAGAATGGTCTTTGATTGTAGGTGAACTACAAATCCCAGCAACTACAACTCCCAAGTGATAAAATCAATCCCAGCCAACCCCAACAGTATTCAAATTTGGGTGAATCGGATATTTGTGCCAAATTTTGTCCAGTGAATGAAAATACATCCTGCATGTCAGATATTTACATTACGATTCAGAACAGTAGCAAAATTCCAGTTATGAAGTAGCAACGAAAATAATGATATGGTTGGGGGTCACCACCACACGAGGAACTCTCTCAAGGGGTCGCGGTACTTGGAAGATTGAGAACCACTGCCATAGAAAGTTAGGAGGGGTCCACAAAGGCCATCTAGTCCAGCCTCTCATTCTACCGTCCGATCCCTTCCGACGGATAGACATCCAACGTCATAGACATTCGCAGATTTATGGAGAAATACGATTATAAGATCATAGAAACATGTCCCAAAACCGTTGTTTGGCTTTGTGGTTTGGGGACAAATGCCTAATGATAATGGTTGTTGTTGTCTCTCACCTTTGTTTCCCACCAGCGGTTGTGGTCATAGGTTCAGTGCAGAGCTGCATCATTGAAGACCTGAGGCCCGGTTCCGTGGTCAGGATTTACATCACAGCTTCCACTGAAGGAGGCAGCACCCGGGGACCCGCCTTGGCCGTCCTGATGAGGAGTAGCGGTGAGTGCGGCATGAGCTGGAGTTCCACTTAAAGAATGTCCTTGTTCCTACTTACATACAAATTCAGTTTCAGAACAAACCTACAGAAACTCTCTTGTTCGTAACTTGGCGACTGCCTGTACATACACATTTTTATGTGTGTATATTTTATTATGTTTATGTGTTTTTAGCCATGATAGTCTCAAGGTACAAGGAGTGTCAGGGACAATAATAATAATAATAATAATAATAATATTATTATTATTATTATTATTATTATTATTATTATCATCATCATCTTGGGTCCCTGGCATTGCCCAGGTTTTTTTTTTAATTGTACAAAATTGATAAGGTTGTGGGTGAACTGCAACTCCCATCATGCCAGATTAACCCCCAAAAACTCCATCAGTACTTAAAGTTTGTTATGTTGGCAAGTTTGCTCTAGATGCATCATCGGTGGGGTTCAGTGTGTTCTCTGGCTATAGGGTAAACTACAACTCCCACTATGGTGAGTCAGTCCCCTCAAAACCCTCCAGCAGGTTGAGTCAGTAATGGGGGTTCTGTGTGCCAAGTTTTGTCCAGGTCAATCCATCAGTGGAGGCCTGGTTGTGGGTGAACTACAACTCCAGAAAAGAAGGTCAGTTCCCCCCAAACCCCTCCAGTAATCAAATTTCAGCATATCAGGTATGCATGCCAAGTTTGATCCGGATCCATCATTGTTTGGGTTCATAGTGCACTTTGGATGTAGGTGAACTACAACTCCTCTAAATCCCTCCAAAGACCTCTGGTATGTTTTGTTGGTCATGGACGTTCTGTGTACCAAGTTAATTCCAGGTCCATTGTTGGTGGAGTTCAGTGTGCTCTTAGATTACAGGTGAACTATACACCCCAGTACCTCTAACTCCTATAAATCATGGCGAATACTCCTCAAACCTCTCTAGTATGTTCAGCTGCTGATCAATTCCTCTGTTTGCTGTGTGACATAGAAAAGAGGGTTAAGGAAGAGGCAGTGAGCAGGGTCATGCAAAATCCTCACCAATGGAGAGTCAGAAACACATGGGATGTCTGTGGTGGAGGAAACACAAAATCTAGGATGAAATTATGCCTTAATGAAAGCCTTCACTTGGGTGGTGGGCAGTATGGCACTTGTGGAAGATATTGGCAGGACTCTTGGACATGTTTACAGAGCTCGCTATAACCTGTAATGTCACTGGAGGCAGGGCCATTGGTGTGTCCCGAGTGGTGGGAGTTATAGCTATTTGTGGACACCCCAGCCACACACATGCATACATATTTTCATTTTTATTATGTGTATAGAAGATAAAATGAACTTGTTCTAAATTATGTCATTTGTTATTATGATTATGTTGTTATTGTTGTTGATGTTTATTTATACTCTGCTTCTTCTCTCCACAAAGAAGACTCAAAGCAGCTATTTAGAAGGAATAAGCATTGTTTGTGTGTGTTTTTCATGAATGCCTCCATTACAAAATGCATAAGGATGGAGCCCCTGGTGGTGTAGTGGGTTAATCCGCTGAGCTGTGAACTTACTGACCAAAAGGTTGCATGTTCGAATCTGGAGAGCGGCATGAGCTCCCGCTGTTAGCCCCATCTTCTGCCAACCTAGCAGTTCGAATTCATGCAAATGTGAGCAATAGGTACCACTCCAGCGGGAAGGTAACGGCACTCCATGCAGTCATGCCGACCACATGACCTTGGAGACGTCTATGAACAACACCGGCTCTTCGGCTTAGAAATGGAAATGAGCACTAACCCCCAGAGTCGGACATGACTAGACTTAATGTCAGGGGAAAACCTTTATCTTTACCAAGGATGAGGGGGGCTATGTATTTTAAATGCCGTTTAAATGTATTTATTGTATTTTGATTCTGTTTTTACCCATTACTATTTAACTTTTGTATTGCACTTTTTAAACTTGTCTAGTGTAGGATTGTTAGCTGCCTTGAGCCCCATGGGGAGAAAAGCAGAGTATGATTAAGTTAATAATAATTGTGAATAATAATAAATGTAGGTGGCTGTGTATGAAAAAAATAAGACACCCACGAATCTGTGAATGTCTGCGAGGGTGGATGGCCATCAGTGTCTCCCTGACTAGCAGGAAAGAAGGGGTTGGACTGGATAGCCTTTGGTGGTCCCTTCTACCTTTAGGATTCTTTGATTCTTACAGCCATACTTCTCCATAAACCTTCCAATGTCTCTCACCAGATTATGGGGAAACGGAGACGTTCCTCTCTGTTATTTGTGTGGGGTTCCTCCTCACCCTTCTCCTTATCGCTGGCTCTTTGATCTGCGTCTGGAAGCATCGGAAGTATGTAAACATACCTGTTATAGGGGGGTGCCCGTCCTAACCATCAGACGGCCGGAGCTGAATCTCAGCCTTTCCGCATTTTTGTTCTGTTGTTCTTCCAGGATTCAGAAGTACCTCTGGCCACAGATCCCGGACCCATCAAAAAGCGGCCTCGCCACATGGATGCCACCCAAACTGTGTCTGGTTAGTAAGGTGCGTGGCTTTGGCTCCACAGGGAATGGTGTGGTGTTTGTATCAGCAGGGTTTGAATCTGCTAGGGCTTTTAGTCTGAACCTTCAAAGACGTTCTGAGCTAGTCAAAGGGGGTTGTAACTTGGTTTGACCCAGACATGAATTACATTGGCTTTTTCAGCTGTCACATCCCACTCTTGGTTCGGGTTCAGCTCGGACTTCTTGATCCCTTTCCAAGCAAAGTGTCATCCCTATTATAATGTTACATCATCATCACTGTTGTTGTCGTCGTTACTGTTTATTCCTCAAAACAGCCATTTCATTTTAGTCACCTAAACGTTGTACCATACTTTGCTCCCTTTCGTTACTCTTGGCCAAGATCTGTGAAGATTCTTTCGGATCCTAGATCCTGTCCTTTTGAATGTCTGCTCTCCTTCCCAATTTGGTCCCTTAGGGGGGTTTCTATTCCGTTGTCCCCAGTTGACGATAAAGGGGTCGAATGGCCCAATGGCCACTTCTCTCCACTGAGGGAGCATTCTTTGGATTTGGATCAAAACTCATTGGGATGTTGTGTGGTTTCCTGCATGGCCAATGTGTTCTAGCGGCATTTTCTCCTGACGTTTGACCTGCATCTGTGGCTAATGGCATCTTCAGAGGATCTGATGGTAGTAAAGGAAGTGGAGTAGATATACCAGTGGAGTGGCCATGGTGGAAGGAAAGAACCACTGGGTTGCTGTGAACCCGGAAATTACATAACATGCCAGCAATCCCGGTCATGAAAAGCCTTCAGCAAAAGCTTGTTCATAAGCGGAGAAACCGTCCCATCAGAGGGTTTTGTCCTAGAACAGTGTTTCTCAACATAGGGCTCAGGACCCCAGGGGGGGGGGGGTTGAAATGGGGTTTCACAGGGGTCACCAAAGACCATCAGAAAACACAGTATTTTCTTTGGTCATGGGGGTTCTGTGTGGGAAGTCTGGCCCAATTCTATTATTGGTGGGGTTCAAAATGCTCTGAACGGCAACTCCACATATCAAGGTCTATTTCCCCCAAACTCAACCAGTGTTCACATTTGGGTATATTGAGTATTCCTGCCAAGTTTGGTCTAGATCCTTCATTGTTTGAGTCCACAGTGCTCTCTGGGTGTAGGTGAATTACAACTCCAAAACGCAAGGTCAATGTCCACCAGACCCTTCCAGTATTTTCTGTTGGTATTGGGAGTTCTGTGTGCCAAGTTTGGTTCAATTCCATTGCTGGTGTAGTTCAGAATGCTCTTTGATTGTAGGTCAACTATAAATCCCAGCAACTACAACTCCCAAATGACAAAATCAATCCCCGCCCAACCACACCAGTTTTCACATGTGGGTGTATCGGGTACTTGTGCCAAATTTGGTCCAGTGAATGAAAATACATCCTTCATATCAGATATTTGCGTGATGATTCATAACAGTAGCAAAATAACAGGAACTGTATTAAGGAAAGGGTCGTGGCATTACTGTCCTAGAACATCAGCTCCTACTCTTCTTTGCAATCTTCAGGATCTGCCTCCTCATTGCCCAGAAAAGTGGAACCAAGGCTATCTCGGCTTGACTGTCGCCGACGTCTTGAAAGCAGCTCCTCCGTCCCAGCAAGGCGGATCCAGCTTTGGAAGGCTCCTCAGCACCCGGTGGCTCGTTCAGGTCCAGAAGGCCGGCGAAGAGGATCTCCCCAAGGCGGACTACTCCAAGGTCGTGGTCCAAGACGTCAGCCCCTGCCCTTCCTGCTCCCTCTCGAATCAGCCAACAGACCAATCTCCGCAAGTGTGCCGCCCTGGAGCCCTCTTTGGACAAGGTGTCTGGCTCCAGAATCTGACCTACGAGGCCGGCATGCACCGTGCGGCCCTCGGGTCCGCAGGTAAATTCCCGCTGCTGGCGAATCTGATGGAGAAGAGCCTCTGCCCGGTGGAAATGCCACACAAAGATATCTCGCAAAGCTCCTAGCCCACCCATTGGTCTTGGCCATCGAGCCGCTCTCCGCTCTTGTATTAGCTAATACTTTTATCCCTCTCCGCAAACCATCACTTCTCTATAAAAGTCAATGTATGCATGTGTGTGTATGTGCCGCAAAAGGTTATTTTGCTAAGTGTAGTGGCCCTCTGTGATGTCACTGGACAGGCTGTCGCTAGGTGGAGTGGGCTACTGTGAGATCAGTGGGAAAGGGGAAGAGTCACAAGGGAGCTGCATTGCCACAGACACATTGTGAGGCAGGCCCTCTCCAAGCCAGAGAAGGTAGAAAGTAAACAGACATAATAGTGGGTACTTTCTCCCAATGATATTGTTGCCATGGAGACATTGTGAGAAAGGCCCTCTTGGACCTGGAGAAGGGAGAAAGTAGGCAGGCAGCAGTCCCAACCAATAGTCTTGCCATAGAGACATTGTGAGAAAGGCCCTCTTGGAACTGGAGAAGGGAGAAAGTAGGCAGGCAGCAGTCTCAATAGTCTTGCCATGGAGACATTATGAGAAAGGCCCTCTCTGAGCTGGAGAAGGGAGAAAGTAGGTAGGCAGTGGCCAACTTAAAAACATTCTTAAAAGATGGGTTGTGTTTTTATGGCTTGTGGTTTTAACAATCTTGTTATCTTGCCTCTTGTGGGAAAACGATGCAGCTCAAGCAAAACAGCAAACCGTTTGTGTGTGTGTTTTTAGCCGCCTTTATCCCTTTTTCGGCTGCTGGGGGGGGGGGGATGGAAAGAAGGTACAAAGGCCAATCAGTTGCTGGATGTGGAGCAGAATACAAAGGGGCGCAATAATCCGATGTGGCTGCTGGGTGGCGGGAAAGGACAATCATCGGGACCTATGAGTCTGGCAAAGGGGATGGGGCTTACAGTGTTCCCCCACTAGTTCGCAGTTTGACTATTGCGGACTCGCTGTTTCACGGGTTTCTCTCCCCCCCCCCCCCCCGAGTCATGGGAGGGGAGCCATGTGCTGGCAAATGGTGGGGCCGGAGGATGCCGGAGCCCCAGGAGGCGGCAGGGCCTTGCTCCCTTTGGGCTAGGAGGAGGAGGAGATGGCAGCGGAGGAAGAGGGTGAGCCCAGGCTGGATTAGAAGAGCGAAGGAGAAGGAAAAGAAGAGCACCCCTGAGTACTTGTAGCAGGCAGCGACAGCGCAGCAGCAGTAACTCCCGCCTCTTTCTCGGAGGCTCCTTGGGCGCCGTTGATGCCACTGCCAAGGGGCTTCTGAGGAAGAGGAGGAGAGAGTTGCTGCTGCACTGTCGCTGCCTGCTGCAAGTGCTGGGGGGTGCTCTTCTTCTCATTCTTCTTCGCTCTTCTTCTCAACCAGCCTGGGCTTCCCAAGGGGCCTCCGAGGAATAGGAGGAGAAGAGCAAAGGAGAAGAGCGTTCCCGAGCACTTGCAGCAAGCAGCAGAGCAGCAGCAACTCCCTCCTCCTCCGCTTCTTCCTCCTCCTCTTCCTCGGAGGCCCCTTGGGCGCCGTTGTAGGGAAGCTCAGGCCCGATGTAGGGCCTCGGCTTCCCTACATCGCGGATATTCACTTATCGCGGTAGTTCAGGAACGTAACTCCTGCAATAAGTAAGGGAACACTGTACTGCCTATATGGCACACTTCAGGTATGCTGACGATTGTGCCATCACCACTCAAGCAGGGGGCTTTGAAATGGTTGAACAGAAGCTCTCCGAAGCTCTAAGTGCTCTTACTGCCTATTACAGGGGAAACCAGCTGATTCCTAAGAGCTGCCGCAAACTAGGTTCCTGCAGGAGAAAAACTTGCTAGCACGTCCCTGACGTCATGAGCCTGCGCCTCTCTCCCCGCCCCTTTCTCCGCCCCTTCTCTTTGCCAGCATGGTTTTTCCTTTGCTAGGGCAGCATTGCCTGCATTTTCTCTCAGTTGAATTCTGCCAACTGAGAGAGTACGCTGGCAATGCTGCCCTAGCAAAGGAAAAACCACTCTCGCACGGAGAAAGGGGTGGAGAAAGGGGTGGGGCGAGAGACGGAGTCTCGTGACGTCAGGGACGTGCTAGCAAGGTTTTCTCCCGCAGGAACCTAGTTTGCGACGGGTCTAATCCATCTAAAATGCAGATGTGTGCTTTTCATCTTAAGAACAGACAAGCACCACAAGTGTTAATGCAAAGTTTTTACCTTTGTGATTTTTAAATACATAATAACTGCATACTCAATTTACTTCTGACACAATAAATAGGTAAGCTTCTCGATACCATATAAGCATTCCCCCTCCCCCAAAGTCTCCCATCCAAGACCTGACCTGCTGAACCCCTGAGGTGAGAGCGGACCGACAAATCTGAATCTGACTGCATTTGAAATTTTTTATTGGATCATCTCGACACACACAGACCAAAAAAAAAAGTGTTACAGCAGCTTTAGGTGGTTTGGTTTCTTTTGTCGTCCCTCCCTCCTCTTTTCGTTCAAGGGGAATGTCAATAGCAAAAAATAAAATAAAAATCAAGTTTGGTGGTTTTATTCTCAAAACTTATTTTTAGAAAGATCTAGAATCACCACCGCACAGGGGTTTCCGTAAGAGAACAAGAGAGTTCTACATGCTAAAGTGACAAAAGTTTTCATCCAGGAATATAGCTATGTATATATATATATATATATATTTAGATATATATATTTAGTTCGAATCCACTCATTTCCAAAGAGCAGAGTCACTTCCGAGGCAATGACACATAAATTCACCCCAATTCCCAAATATTGATCTGGTTCAAAGGAAGGAAGGAGTCCTCGATTTGTTGCGTGACAAATCAAGACACAGTGGAAGAACGTTGGAACCAAGGAACGAAATAAAGAAAAACTCTCTCCTAAACAAAAGCGGAACGAAGAGAGGCATTGAGTGTCTTCCGAGAAAGATGACATCAAGGTCCAAAACTTTCTCCCTGAATTTTTAGAGTTCTATCCTGTGACGGAGAGCCATTCGTTCGAAGAAAAAGAAAAGCTAAGTGCAGACGAGAAGGAATGTTCAAATAAATAGCCATCTTGGTGGGAAACCTGCAGAAGGGGAATATCACAAACGGGAGGAAGCAGGGGAAACCAAAGAACAGGGTGGATTATCTCCAAACCCGAAAAATGACACTCCAGATTTGGGATCCGGAGCTGCAGCATCCATTTTTCTTCTTCGTGGTGTTTGTGAAAATCACACATATGGGATTTTCCTGTGCATGTGCAGCATTATCCCATATGTGTGAATTTCACAGATCGCCATTCGAAGAAACAGTTACAGGTAAGCAACTATTTCTTCCCCCACATCTTGGCCTCTCCGGACTTTGGAAGACGATGCCAGCTCTTTGGAAGATGATGCCAGCTCCAGGAAAGGCCAATCGAAGATGCTGAAAGGAGGGTCGGTGGAGATTCTTTTGTCAACACACACAAAGCCTTTGGATTTCCAGTTCATTTCACTTCATTCAACAACTCCGGGAATGTGATGAGTTTGCGGCCAACTTCCCAACAAGTCAATTTGATTTGGTCTGGGGAAAAGAGCTGGAAGAGCCTTTGGGATGTATGTTATGGAAGAAGGGAGGAAAGAACTTAAAGAATGAGTGGTTTTTACAGGAGAGTACAATCTCCCAGCCAGGTTAAATCAAACCAAAACATAATCCAAATGGAGATTTGACGACTGACTGACTTTTTCAGCCACTCCCTTCCTGGGGATCAACAAATTGTTCACCCCACCAAGGAGAAACCTTTTCCCGAAAGGATGTGTAAACCGTAATGGAGTGAGGGGGGAGGACAACCCAAAGGTGGGCCCGGAAACAAGGGAGAAACACAAAACGTACATGCGGATGGGAGGAAAAGGAGAGGGAGGGCAATCGAACACTTCAGTCCTTTCGAGCCTCGTGGCGCTCCTCTCGCAGAGAGGCATTTTCCCCTCCAGGAAGGAAGGAAAGAAGGAAGAAAGGAAGACTCAGCACTTTGATAAGGTCTCCTTGAGTTCAGAGAGCAGGTTGCCCAGCAAGGCCGAATCGTCGCACTTCCCGTCGATGGATACAGAGTTCTCTCCCTTGAAAAGAGCGGAAGGAAATGAGGCTTAAGAACAGCAGGTTAATCACCAAGTTGCAATAAATTTTGCCAACTGAAAGGTTGACAGTTCAAAGGCCCGGTCAGGGTGAGCATCTGACCTTTAGCCCTGCTTCTGCCAACCTAGCAGTTTGAAAACAAATGTAAGTAGGTAAATAAAATAAAATTAAAGCAGAGAGGTATTTTAAGCATAGCTTTTCAGTCAGAAAAAAGGAGGAAGTTTACGAACAAAGAAAGCTCTTCGGCAAGGAGATGGAGCAACAGCACCCCCCACCCCCGCCCCGTGGCTGGAACCAAGCACAGCCTCCAAAGATGCTGAAAGATGGGGAAGCTTTTCTTGTCATTGTATAATTGGCACTGAATGTTTGCCGTATATGTGTTCTGTGGTCTGCCCTGAATCCCCTTCGAGGTGAGAAGGGCAGAATATACAAGGGTTATCCGGAAAGTAAGGTTACAAGGCATGTAGCTCTCGTGGGGAATTTTCTCTGGGGAAGTTGGTATCACTGCCGTGTAGCGGGAAGCCAGAGGAAGAGAACGAGCAGTGCCAGTTGTCAGTAGCTCATCGACTGGCGTTGTGATAAAGGTTAGAGATGAGCATCCTCATTTTGTTTCCCTTCTGTCTCCTTCATGACAATGCGCATCCGCACACCACTCATGCAACACAAGAGTCGTTGACTTCATTTGGTTGGGATGTTTGAAGCTACCCCTCTCACAACCCCGATCTCACACCCAGGGACTATCATCTGTTCACGAAATTGAGGGAACACCTGGGTGGAAAATACTTTTCCAACGACAACGAGGTGAAAATCGAAGGAGACTTCTATGACATAGGTATCAAAAAACCCATTGCACAGAGGACAAAAAAGTAATGTAATATCTATGCTACAATCCATATAAGTTTTATTAAAATACCTTAATTCTTTGTATTTTTTAAAAAATATTGTAACCTTACTTTCCGGATATTCCTCATAAACACTATAAATAAATAAATAAATAAATAAATAAATAAGTAAGGGAGAGGAGAGGAAAAAGTAAAGCAAAGGGCCTGCATTGGAGGATAAAATCCCAAGCGCTCCCCTATGTTTTGGACATGACTTTAAAAAGATCTGAGCCGCACACGAGAAACAAATCCTTTCTCCATTCCTCTGTAATGCAGTCCAGAAATATCTGGGAGCCAGAGATTTCATGCCTCTATCCCAGATCCAAAAGGTTCAAAGCCTTTTTATTTTGGCCTTCCATAACAAGTGGGAATGTGGGATTTCCGTGTCATTAGGGCAGCGGATCTGTAATAGAGGGTGGCTTTAAGGAATTGCCCCAAAATGGGACAAGCCAGCCAATGGCATGGGAGCACTTACCATCCCCTCCCTTCCTCAAAAGAGGGTCAACTATCTAGAACAGTGGTTCTCAACCTGTGGGTCCCCAGGTGTTTTGGCCTACAACTCCCAGAAATCCCAGCCAGTTTACCAGCTGTTAGGATTTCTGGAAGTTGAAGGCCAAAACATCTGGGGACCCACAGGTTGAGAACCACTGATCTAGAATAAATACAGATGGGGGTCTTCCAAAGCAACCCCCTTCTCTCTCCTCACCTTTTTCACTAACAGGCAGACGTGATGGCCCTGGATCGACCGGCTGTACATGGAGGCGCAGTCCCCCATGCGTTCGACCACTGGAAAAGGAGGGAGACAGAAAATCCACAGATGTCCATCCAGTGCTTTCTTTGAAATATCAAGCTATTAACATTCAAAGCCGCTGCAGTTCCAAAGCCAACGTGGTTCCAAGCATTGGGAGGGGGGTGGATTTTTCCACAAGGCACAACGTTATGTTTCTATGGCTATTTTATTTTCAGAAACTTCGAGTCACTTTGAAATACCTTGAAGGAATTAGGATAGGAAGTGTGAAGAAAAGATGAATGGATAAAGAGAGACAAGTAGATGGAAGGACAGATTGGAGAGACAGGTGGATACAATAGATAGATAGATAGATAGATAGATAGATAGATAGACAGACAGACAGACAGACAGACAGAGAGGGGGAGCAGATGAAACGATAGATTGGAGAGAGGTGGATATGATAGACTGATGAACAGAAAGGAGAGAGGTAGATGAAAGGGTAGATTGGAGAAATAGGAAGAAAGGATAGATGGGTAGGTAGGTAGATAAATAAATGGAGAGAAAGAGGCAGACGAAATAACAGATTGGAGAGATAAGTGGATAGGATTGGATAGATTAGACAGATGAAAAGAAAGAGAAAGGCAAATGGACAGATTGGAGAGACAGCTGGATATGATAGAGAAAAATAGACAGACAGAGAGGTAGATGAAAGGACAGATTGGAGAAATAGGTAGATATGATAGATAGATAGATAGATAGATAGATAGATAGATAGATAGATAGATAGATAGAGAGGGGAAGGGGGAGATACTGTATATCTGGGGTCCTCAAACTTTTTAAACAGAGGGCCAGGTCACAGTCCCTGAAACTGTTGGAGGGCCGGATTATAATTTGAAAAAAAAAACACAAATTCCTATGCACACTGCACACATCGCATTTGTAGTGCAAAAAACACTTTAAAACAATATGATAATTAAAATGAAGAACAATTTCAACAAATATAAATTTATTAGTATATCAATGGGAAGTGTGGGCTTGATGAGATAGGATTGTTGTTATTGTTGTGTGCTTTCAAGTCGTTTCAGACTTAGGTTGACCCTGAAGGAGGGCCAGTTAAATGACCTTGGAGGGGCGTATCCGGCCCTCGGGCCTTACTTTGAGAACCCCAGCTGTAGATAGACAGAAAACAGAGAGGTAGATGAAAGGACAGATTGGAAAAATAGGTGGATATGATAAATAGATAGATAAACAGACAAACAAAGAGAGAGGTAGATGAAAAATTGGAGAAATAGGTGGATAGGATAGATGGGTAGCTAGTAAGATAGGTAGGTAGATGAAAGGATAGATTTGAGAGGTAAGTGGATAGGATAGAATAAATAAATAGACAAAGAGAAAGGAGAGAGGTAGATGAAAGGCCCCCCTTGGGGGTTGAGAAGGGCGGGGTAGAAGTGCCCGAAAATAAATAAGGCTAGATTGGAAAAGTAGGTGGATACGATAGATGGGTGGGTAGATAGATAAGACAGATAGATAGGCAGATGAAAGGAAAGATTTGAGAGATAAGTGGATAGGATAGAATAGACAAAGAGAAATAGAGAGGTAGATGAAAGGATAGATTGGAGTGATGAGTAGATAGGATAAAATAGATAGATAGATAGATAGATAGATAGATAGATAGATAGATAGATAGATAGATGATAGATGTAGTCGGAGGGGGGGGGAGCTTGAGGGGCTTCAGCCCCCCCCCCCTTTCAAATTCTCAGGGTGATCCGTGAGAAGGCCTTACTGTAAACTGTTATGTTTATTCATATCATGATCTGATCACCATGCTCAATATATCCCATATGCATGGGGGTGTTGGGATAACGATACAAAAGGTTTGCTAGGGTACATCCTCAGCCTCCCCCCAAAATCAAACTCAGCAACTCCCGAATCAAAATCCTGGCTACGGGTCTGGATGGATGGATGGATGGATAGATAGATGAAGAGGGAGGGGTATATGAAAGGACAGATTGGAGAGATAGGTGGATATGATATACAGATGGATGAAGAGAAAGGAGAGCGGTAGATTAAAGGATAGATTGGAGAAATAGGTGGATAGGATAGATGGGTAGGTAGGCAGATGGATAGATAGACTTGAGAGGTCATGAGTTCCAAGGCAGCCTGGGTCAGAGTAAGCTCCCGACCATAAATAGTCTAGCTTGCTGTTGACCTATGCAGTCTGAAAGACAGTTGCACCTGTCAAGTAGGAAATTTAGGTACCGCTTTATGCGTGGAGGCTAATTTAACTAATTTACGATGCCATAAAACCTTCCAGCAGGATGCGGAAGTATGAGGAAGTACTCCATCAAAGGAAACGGTGTCACAAGTGGACGGTGAAGTGGCAGCTCCCCATGGTCGGAACTGCGCATACTGTCATGAAGCCGGAAAAAGCTAGAATGTTAAATTGCCTCTGTGTCTGTCTATATATGTTGTATGTCTAAATGGCATTGAATGTTTGCCATATATATGTGCATTGTAATCTCCTCTGAGTCCCCTGCGGGGTGAGAAGGGAGGAATATAATTACTGTAAATAAATAAATATACGGCTCAAAACCGTGATATTCTGGAATTCTCACGTTTTTGCCTTTTCTAGCGATTGCTTCTGAGTTTACAGAGAACGGCATGCAGCCACCCTTCTGTTTGCTGCAGAAGCTCCTGGGATAAAGGTAGTGTCTGGATGGGCCCCTAGAGGCCTGGGATGCATACCTTGAGGGTAGAAACTCACCTGAGAAATGATGGTAGAAACAGATTTTGGCCAGGATGTGGTGGAAAGGATCGGTGATGCCCTCCACTTTAAAGGCGCTGGCGTGCAAGTCCCCCGATTCCAAGAGCTTGGCAAAAGCGTCGCTGCGGCGAAAAAACAGGGCATTATGGGACACTCTTCCCCTCGCCACATCCTTCCCTTCACCCGAGAGCCACTGCCAAAGGCGTCCTACCTGTAGCAGGGTGTGGTGATCAGGTAGGAGGCGCAGCTGAAGTGCAATTTGAAGTCAATCTTGTCGTGCGTGGAACTCTCTTCGTCCTGTGGGAAATGGGAGGAGAATTGAGCGACAGTAAGCTGGAGGAGCAACTTGCCCAGATATTATGTGGACAAGCTTTCCATTTCAGGGGTTTCAAGCCCTGGGTTGAGCCTCCTTTCCATTAGGCTTGTTAGGTTTGGTTCGGAAAAACATAAAATTCGGAAAAATATACCGAATTTGGTGTTTTGAACCAATTTCGAACCATGCAGGAATAGTGGGAGGAGCAATTCCGAATCTGAACCACTTACCCATTGTTTGGAATTATTTTCGGATGTCTCCCACAGTTCTTTTGATTTTCAGAACCATTAAGCAATTTTGGCAAGGCCTAAACAAACGGTTTTAAAATCTCACAGTTTCCCTTTACCAAAGTTGCTTGCTTAATGGTTCTGAAACCCATTCCCTTCCCTTTGGTGAGAAACTGTGTTCTTGATCCCAAAGAAGGGGGTCAGTCTAGATGTCCCTTGATGGGTCTGCTCTGTATATGATTTCTATTCTCCCCCAAATTAACACAGTTTGTGCTACACAAAGTTTCTGGAGGAGAACAACTACTTTCAAAGTAAAGACCATACAAAGAAACAGGGCAAAGACCACACAAAGAAACACCTTGGCAGGGCCCCCTACATCCGAAACGAGTTTTGAACTGTTTTTTTTTTTTTTTGATCAAACAAGCCTACTTTCCATCTGAGAGCCCTTACTTTGACGATGAATGAGAGCGTTCCTTTCAGCTTCTGAGCCATGACAATGCTCTGGAGGGAGAAGACAAACTGGGCTTCATTGGAGACGCCTGAATGGAAGAGAGATTACATTGTGACAACAGGAACGTTAAGCATTCTCTCGAGGTCCTTCCTTCTGAAGTCTGCATTCGTTATGAGAGTTGACCACATTGGGAATTCATCCTGCCTAAGACTATAAGGGAAGGGAGGAGAGTTTGGACTCTTGGCCCAAGAAAGACTATGAACATTTGTTTCCCTGTTTGAAAGTTTGGCCCATAAACCCAGTGATGCCACTCCATCTATAAACATAGTGTGTGTGTGTGGCTGGGGTACCCACTTATGGAGACAAGCTCCTGCCTCCAAAAACAGCTTTAGCTCCCACTACTCAGGAGACACCAACAGCCCTCCCTTCAATAGCATTTTAAGTAACAGTGAGCGCCATAAACATGTTCAAGAGTCCTGCCAATGTCTTCCACAAACACCACACTGCCCACCTCCCAACTGAAGGCTTTGATTTCATTCGGGGACAATTTCATTCTAGATTTTATGTGTTTCCTCCACCACAGACATCCCAGTGTTTGTTTCTCTCTCCATTGGTGTGGAATTTGCATGACCCCACCCACTGCCTCTCCCTTAACTCTTTCCAGTTATTTTCTATGCCACACAGCTAACAGAGGAGTTGATCAGCATCTGAACATACTGGAGACATTTGGGGAGAATTCACCATGATTTATAGGAGTTGTAGATCCTGGGATGTGTAGTTCACCTGCAATCTAAGAACTGCACTCTGAACTCCACCAACGATGGACCTGGAACTAACTTGGCACACAGAAGCCCCATGACCAACAAAACATACTGGAGGTCTTTGGAGGGATTAATAGGAGTGGATCTGGATCAAACTTGGCACGCATACCCAATATGCCCAAATTTGAATACTGGTGGGTTTTGAGGGGAATTGGCCTGGACATTTTGGAGTTGTAGGTACTGGGATTTATAGTTCACCTGCAATCAATGAGCACTCCGAACTCCACCAAAGATAGAATTGGACCAAACTTGGAACACAGAGCCCCCATGAGCAGCAAAAAATACTGGAGATCTATGGGGAAAATTCACCTTGATTTGGGGGAGTTGTAGTTCACCTACATCCACAGAGCACTGTGAACCCAAACACTGATGGATCTGGACCAAACTAAGCACACATACCTGATATGCCGAAATTTTGATTACTGGAGACATTTTGGGGGGTGGGGGACGACAACTGAGCTTCCTTTCTGGGAGTTATAGTTCACCCACAACCAGAGAAATGGTGACCTCCACCAATGATGGACTTGGACCTTACTTGGCACACAGAACTCCCATGACTAACTCAACTTATTGGAGGCCGTTGAGGGGACTGACACACCATAGTGGAAGTTGTAGTTCACCCTACAGCCAGAGAGTGCACTGAACCCCACCAATGATGCATCTAGAGCAAACTTGCCCAACATAAGACACTTTAAGTACGGGTGGAGTTTTTCAGGGTTAACCTGGCAGGATGTGAGTTGTAGTTCACTCACAACTTTATGTATTTTGCACAATTAAAAAACTGACTTTTTCAAATTACCTGGGCAATGCCGGGGACCCATGCTACTATATAACATAGCTTTCACTAAGCACCCCGAGCCCCAATTGTGCAATGCCTCCAGGCCAAGGGAGGGATGATCTCGCCAACCCATCAAATTTGGGACCCTGCTCTATCACGCTTTATTACGTTTCCGATGTTTTGGCCTCAGTCTGTACCGGGAGGCAGTTGGAAGGGGACAGCGATTCCGTCATGGATGGAGGCACCGTCGGGCCGCAGCATCTTGGTGTTGAGTGAGTCCAGGACATTCAGCTCCATGCTCTTGAGGAAGCTGCTGCTCTTGTTTTCAAAGATCACCGAAACAGTCACCTGGCCGTGGCTCTGGAGGTTGCCCTGGATGTCGTACGTCTGACATAAAAATAAAGGGAGACGTAGAAGAATTTAGGCCTTCTTTGCACTCGGGAGAGAAAGGCCTGGCTGTCCAGAAAGAAACGAACCAACAGACTTACCATTTTGATGTATGCGTTTTCAGCAAGAAGGCCATAACTGGACATAGGCTGGAAAGGCAGAAGAGGAAAAGAGGATTCATTGTCAAGCAGGAAAAGGATCTGCCCAAGAGGAGATAGATAGCTGCCTTTCTTTGCTATCCTATTTCAATCTGAAATTGTTTCAGTTATATATTTTGTTTTCATCTACTATATTGTATGTTGTCTTGGTCAATTAAACAGGAACAACACTTTCACACCAGAAACAGATTTTTTTTTCTGTTCCCCCGTTCCAACCAACCCCAAAACATGGCCACCATCCACTCACCGGCAGGGGTTCGTCCTCGAATGTCCCATTCTGCACTGATTCCGTGGGGGGTTCCTCTGCGCTGCCGTGATGTTTTTTGGCCTTTCGCTCCTTGGCCTTTTCTTCTTTCTTATGCTTCTTCTTCTTGTGCTTGGAGGATTTCTACTAGGACGGGAAAGCCACAGGTCAGTGCACGCTGCTTTCTGAAGCAAGAGTGTGATGTGCGGATTGAATGAAATTGAATGATTAGGGTCTAGCTAAGGAACCTATTAAGGTTTGCCAAGGCTGAAGACACCATCCTAAGCAATTTGGAACCTGGAAAACTGAATTATATAATAATCTCTCTATATAAAAATGGTCTTGTCGTTGTATCTTAAAAACAAAAAAACTACGGGGCCAAATGATCCCAAATTTGGCAACACAACGTCTCACAACGCAAAGTGTGACCAACAATAATAAAAAACAAAAAAGAACTAAAAATAACTTACAAATTCTAAAAAAGGAGAAGATGCCACTGGGCATGCGTACGAGGGGAGGGGGGGTCCGCGCACAAACACAGGAGAGCTCCACGTGGCGGAGCCTGTGCCGGCAACGGCTTCTAGGCCGCCTGGAGCCAGCCTGACGTAACAGATATAGGAATTTCTGGAGTAAGCTGGCCATGTCTACATGGTCAGAGTCCCCCACTAATCCCTTCTTCTGGACCCGAGCTTGGAAAAGCAGCTGTTTTCAATGATGGCTAGCGATCCCCACCTTTGGTGATGGCAAGGACAGATCAGCCACTCACCTTCCCTTCGCCTTCCTCCTCCTCCAACTCTTCCTCTCGCTCCTCCTCCTTGGTTTCCTCTGGAACCTCGTATTCAGCCCCATCTGCACTCGCTTCCAGTGGGCCCTGGCAAAGAAGGACACCAGAATTCAGCTGGGAATGCCTCCTTGTCAGGGGCTTCAGGGAAGATGTGGCCCTTGGTGAAAGGGCTACAACATGGGTCTGGATCTGGGCTTCCTTTGCAGCCGGGGTTAGTTTTGCCTCCTTTTTTTAGGGGTCTGCTTCTCACAGCTCTCTCTTTGGGCATGAGGTCAAAATGAAGCAAAACCTCCCAGAGCTAATGGTGAAGGTCAGATAAAAGGTGAAAGGATGTATTGAAAGGGAGGAAGCAACAAAAGAGCAGCCGTCACCGTCCCAGGGTATTCACTGCAATTTGGTTCTTGAAATCTGTGAACGCTCAAGTCCTATTATGTACAACCACATCGTAAACTGCGCTCTCTCTCTCTCTCTCTCTCTCTCTCTCTCTCTCTCTCTATATATATATATATATATATATATATATATATATCTCTCAAACTAGCTTGGGGAGCTGGCAATGCCCAGGTTATTTGAAAAAGGCATTGTTTGTGGAAATTAGATAATATCAATTTGGTAATTTGTAACATTATTTATTAGGAAAAAAGTCAGTCTTTGCTTTTGTTTTTTATGAATGCGCCCATTAGAAAATGCAGAAGAATGTGGGTGAATTGCAATTCCCAAAAATGCAAACTTGGCCATGTTAGGTCTGTGTATCACAGTTTGGTCCAGATTGGGTTCACAGTGCTTTCTGGATGTAGGTGAACTACAACTACTATATATTCCCCCAAAGGCCTACAGTATTTTTTGTTGGTAATGGGGGATCTGTGTGCCGAGTTAGTTCCAGGTCCATCGTTGGTGGGGTTCAGAATGCTCTATGATTGCAAGTGAACTATATATCCCAGGATCTACAACTCCTATACATATCAAGGTCAACTCTCCCCTGCCCAAGCCTCTCCAGTATTTTTTGCTGATCATGGGGGTTCTGTGTGTCAAATGTGGTCCAGGTCCATTATCTGTGCAGGGTAAACTACAACTACCATCATGTTGAGTCAGTCCCCCAAACCCCTCCAGTATGTTCAGTGGCTGATCAGTTTCTCTCTGTTTGCTGTGTGCCATAGAGAAGAGTAGGAAAGGCAGTGGGCGGGGTCATGCAAATTCCACACTAACAGAGATTGTCAGAAACACTGAGATGTCTAAGGTGGAGGAAAAACAAAGTCTAGGAGGAAATTGTCCCCGAATGAAAGCATTCACTTGGTGGTGGGCAGTATGGTATTTGTGGAGGACACAGAGAGGGCACTTGGACATGTTCATGCTGCTTGCTATAACTTGCAATGCCATTGGAGGGAGGGCCATTGGTGTCTCCTGAATGGTGGAAGTTATAGCTGTTTGTGGAAGTGGGAGCCTGTGGAAGTGGACACACCGCCACATACATATTTTTACTTTTATTATATGTAAAGATAGTAAAAGAAAAGGCAGACATTTGGAACTTTGGGGGAAGATTTTCAATGGTTGCAGAAGAGGGCCAACTGCATACAGGTATCATATAATGAAGTTTAAGAGCAATTTTATCTTCTAGTATTTCCCTTCCTGACGCTTCCTAAAGAGGGGAGACTGATCTTTACCTCAGTGGCCACAGCAGGCGGTGGCGGGGCATCCGAAAGCCAGAAGTCCATGTCGTCAGCCTGGAAAACAACCACAGAAACAGAATTATGGGTAATAATCGCTACATGGTGCTCAACCAATATGGTTGAAGACTTGTTCTGAAATACCTAGCCTGACATTACCTTTTTGCCTTCCTCCTCCTCCTTGGCCTTTCGTTCTTTCCTCTTCTCTTTCTCCCGCTCCTTTTCTTTGTGCTTCTTCTCCTTCTTCTTCGGCTTCTTGCTCTTCTTCTCGGCCGGCGGTGCTTCCGTCTCTTGCGGCGACTTGAGGCCTTCGGCATTTCGGTGCCTTTGGACGGGGAGCTTCTCGCTGTCCGCTAAAGGCCTTTCGAGAGGGGGAAAAGGAAAACAACAAGAGGAGTGAATGCGACATTCGCAAGAAGCAGCCTTTTTCCTTTATCTGTTCAGCTTTATAGGGACCAGCGTACCCTCCAACTGTCTCAAACTGGAAGTCCCTTTGCTTCGGAAACCTACAATGTATTATCCTTGGGCCAAAAGAAGAGCCTGGAATCTAATTTCCTCCCACATTGATGATATTCACCCTTGTAATTTTTGCTTTCTGTTTCAACCCTGTCATGCATTTGTGTCCACTCTATCCCCCGGTTCTCCTCCTTGACATCCACTTTCTTGTTGTTTTTAGTAAATAAATAAAATGACAACTATTTGCAAATGTTCCCACCCTCCACCCACACACCCAAATCTTCACTTCCAAGGAAGAGGAGGACAAGAGAAGGAGAGAGGGGACTATTGCTTCGAAAACGACGGCTCGTTCTCCCATCTGACAAGCAAGCTGCCACTGTCTCAGTCCCCTTTTTTGAATGATGGGTTTCATTTTGTTTGGAAGCCGAGGAAAGGGTAGAAAAGAAGCAGCCAAACGCTGTAAAGCCCAACAAGCCAGTACAAAACAGATATATTTTTCGTTATGTTTCTGCTTTAGGAGCGGATAAACCTCTTTTGCGCAAATGAGTGCCCGGTGGCCAGTGGGACTTCCCCGGATTTGTATTTCTAACGGAAACCAGACACTTCTCAATGCAATCTGACAAACCGACAGATCTGGGCCATGTTGTAGCTTTACAGTGTTGGGCAGAAGCAGCCAGCCTTTTGCTAGAGAGATGAGGGATCTTACCTGGCAGGCTTCCCTGAAGCCAGACTGTTTGATAGATAGAAAGAGAGAGAGAGAAAGGAAGGAAGGAAGGAAAGAAAAACATGATGACAGAAGGCAGCAATTGTGAGGAAATGGAAAGAGAAAGAGAGGAGTTTGAGAGGCCCTGGGGGATCTGTGTGATTTGGGGATTTACCGCAGAGATGCCCAAATCCAAACATTTAAAGAGGGGAATATTACTCAGTTTTGGGCGGAACCAATCAGCTGCTTTGAACTTCTATGGAATTGGAAGAGGCCGCAATATTAAGAACTGCATTATTCTCATTAACTTCAACCTTCTTTTACAATGGGTCGTTTACATTTGGATGCTCGATTTTCAAGAACGGAGCTTGGTTGGAAGCTAGTTTCTCCAATACTGCAACATCGTAATGTAATAATACTAATAAAAATGCAATGTTCGTTTGTGGGATTAACAGAACTCATAAACCACTGGACAAATTGACACCAAATTTGGGCAGTATACACCTAACAACCCAATGTATGTACTTCACTCAAAAAAATATTTTGTCTTTTGGGAGTTGTAGTTGCTGGCATTTATAGTTCAGCTACAATCAAATAGCATGATAGAATTGAACCAACTGGGGCATACATGACTCCCATGACCAACAGAAAACACTAGAAGGGTTTGGTGAGCACTGACCTTGAGTTTGGGAGTTGTAGTTCACCTAAATCCAGAGACTACCATGGACTCAAACAATGATGGATCTGGACCAAACTTGGCATGAATATTCCATATGCCCAAATATGAGCACATATGGAGTTTGGGGGAAATAGACCTTGACATTTGGGAGTTGTAGTTACTGGGATTTATAGTTCACCTACAATCAAAGAGCATTCTGAATCCCACCAACGACAGAATTGGGGCAAACTTCCCACACAGAACCCCCATGACCAAAAGAAAATACTTAAGGCCATCCAGTCCAACTCCTTTCACCAGGGCAAGAAAACATAATCAAAGCCCTCCTGACAAAGAGCCATCCAGCCATAGATATAGATAGATAGATAGATATGATTTACACACACAGAGATATAGTATCATGGATTTGAAAGGGACCCCTGAAGAAGGACAATTATATCTTGCATGTTCCAGGGTGGGCAAACCAGACACTCTCCATATCAACACTGACAAAGAAACAACAAGAAATACTGTTTACCCACAAGCATAAAGAAATTCCATATATTAGAAACCAACACTTTCTCATTACTTTATTTTCTAGATCACCAGACTGGGCCACAGCAATGTGTGGCTGGGGGCGGCTAGTATATTATATAATACTAATAGTATACACAGCAAGCTGGTTTCACGAAAGGCAAAAGCTGCACAAGACAAGTTTTGAACCTGACTCAACACATAGAAAATGGTTTTGAAAGGCAGCAGATTATAGGCACTGTCTTCATAGACCTGTCAGCAGCATATGATACTGTAAATCATTGCCTTCTCCTGAGAACAATTTATAATATCACAAAGGACTACCACCTCACTTGCTTCATAGGAAATCTGCTACAAAACAGGAGCTTTTTGTTGAATTCCAGGGCCAGAGAAGCAGATGGCAAAAACAGAAGAACAGCCTGGCTCAGGGGAGCATGCTTGCTCCATCAATGTTTCACATTTACACAAATGACCTGCCACTGCCAGAAGGGACACAGAGTTTCATCTATGCTAATGATTGTGCCATCACCACTCAAGCAGGGAGTTTTGAAGTAGTTGAACAAAAGCTCTTTGAAGCTTTAGGTGCTTTTACTGCCTTTTACGGGGAAAACCAACTGATTTTCAATCCATCTAAAATGCAGACGTGTGCTTTTCATCTTAAGAATAGACAAGCATCTCGAGCTCTGAGGATTACCTGGGAAGGAATCCCACTGGAGCATTGCAGAACACCCAAATACCTGGGAGTCACTCTGGACTGTGCTCTGACTTACAAGAAGCACTGTTTGAATATCAAGCAAAAAGTGGGTGCAAAGCACAAGGGCAAATGTCTTCATTGTCCCTGGGGATCACAACCACAGACAATGAAGACATCTGCCCTTGCGCTTTACTACCCTGCTGCTGAATATGCATGCCCAGTGTGGAATACATCTCACCATGTTAAAGCAGTGGATATGGCTCTTAATAAAAAATGCTGCACTGTTTAGCCGGTATTGCACCACCTGACACAGGTCGGGAAGTAGCAGACTGTAATGAAAGGACCAAGGCAGTGACATCTCCAGCCCATCCTTTGTTCGGATATCAGCCAGCATGCGAACACTTAAATCAGGAAATAGCTTCCTAAGATCCACAGAGATACTCGCAGGAACACCTCAGCAAGCGAGAGTCCAAAGGTGGCTGGCTAAAACCTGGAACCTCAATCCATGATTGATACCAAATGAGAGACTCCCTCCTGGTCACACAGAAGGTCAGGAGACTTAAAAGGCAGTGAACAGACTGCGCTCTGGCACCGTGAGATGCAAAGCCAACCTTAAGAAATGGGGTCTCAAAGTGGAGTCCACAAGATGCGAGTGCGGAGAAGAGTAAACCACAGACCACCTAATAAAATGCAGCCTGAGCACATGCACAATGGAGGACCTTCTCACAGCGACACCAGAGGCACTCCAAGTAGCCAGCTACTGGTCAAAGAACATTTAGCATAATGCTAAAAAGTTTTTAACATTGTGTTTTAAATACATTGCAACTGTACCCTCAATTCACTTCTGACACAATAAAAATAGTGTATTATATGTATTGTGGTATACTAAGAGTACAATATAATATATAACAATATAATAAATTGTATATTATATATTACATGTAGTATTACTAATAATATTGCAGTATAGTGGTATAGTACAATATAGTAATATATAATACTAATGTGCTATTATAATAATATAATGAATTGTATATACATAAAATTGATAATCATACTATAAAGTACTACAATATAATACCAATAATAATACAATACAGCAATATATAGTAATAATATTGTAATATAATAATACTAATATATTAAATATGGTACTACTGAAAATATATAATATATAATGATATACTGTTTTATTACGGTATATTTGTATATATTAAGTTGTATTTTTTTTATTGTGAGCCACTTTGAGTCTCCGTATGGGGGAGAGGAAGTGGGATATAAATAATAAATAAATTTTAAAAAATGAACGCTAGAAAACTGACAGCGCCATTTTTGAGAACCACAAGCAGTGTCCTCCCCACCAATTGCCTTCCTTGTGCCATCGAAAACAAGCGGCCATCTTCCTACTTACTTGTCCAGATCTATATCCAGCGCCTTGTAAGGGTCATTGGGGTCTTTCTCGTCATCGTCACTGGGCAGAGCGTTCTAGGGGGGAAAAGAAAAAAGTGAAGCCTATCCTTGATGCTGTGTTGTTGTTTCCGACTTATGGTGACTCTAAGGCAAACTTATCGGGGTTTTCTTGGCCAGGTTTGTTCATGTTGCCTTTGCATCTCTCTGAGGCTGAGAGAACGTGACCTGCCTAAGATTGAACCCTCGGTTCTGGAATCGTAGTCTAACACTCAAACTAATGCACCACATGATAAAAATATCCCTCAGGAAAGTTTTGGACAGAAAAATATATTTAAAGTACCACCACAGGTAAATTTAGGTATGTTATTAATGGGAGTACTAGGTATTACTAAAACCAATACAAAAGAACAAAAATGGTTCAAGAGATCCTGGCAGGACAAGCAGTAATAGCATGGGGGTGGAGAGATGGAAAAAATGGATGTTGGAAAATTGGGATATGTTGTTGAAGGCTTTCCAAATCACTGGGTTGCTTTGAGTTTTCTGGACTGTATGGCCATGTTGCAGAAGCCATCTCTCCTTAGACATAGCCATATGGCCCAGAAAACTCACAGCAACCCAGAAAATTGGAATAGTTATCTATATGATCAGGTTCAATTTCAAATTATAACAAGAGTAACAGGGAACAAAATATTATTGTTTATTCGTTCAGTCATTTCCGACTCTTGGTGCTCACATGGACCAGGCCAGAGCTCCCTGTTGGCCTTGGCCACCCCCAACTCTTTCAAGGTCAAGCCAGTCACTTCAAGGATAACATCCATCCATCTTGCCCTTGGTCGACCCCTCTTCCTTTTTCCTTCCATTTTCCCCGGCATCATTCGGTTCTCCATGCTTTGAATGAAGGCCATTCAATGCTAATCAAGCTGACCAATTGCAACATTCCCACTTGCCTCCAACCGACAAGAGTTCTTTCTCTCACCCTGGACATTATTCCATAGATAGATAAATCTCAACTGCCTAGTTTCCAACAGAACTCACAACCTCTAAGGATGCCTGCCATAGATGTGGGTGAAACATCAGGAGAGAATGCTTCTGGAACATGGCCAGACAGCCCAGAAAACTCACAGAAACCCAACGTAGTATAGTAGAGCTCCGGTTAACCTAGCTCTGTTCATCCAAGACTCCGTGTTAACCAATACCATCATGTGGCCGATTGGAAACATTGCACCCTTTGATATGTGTTCATGAGAGCAGCTTTCTTTCCCATGCAGCAGGAGGCGAAGGAGGAAAGTGCATGGGAGGGAAGGGGGGTGAATCAAAAGAGAAAGAGGGAGGGGAGGGGAAAAAAGAAGGGAGGGAGGAGGGAAAAAGGAAACGCATGGCTCTCCTCTCTCTCTCTGCTCTTGGTGCAGTCTCGAAAAGAGCTTTGGAGACTTATCTCCAACCCAGCCTTGTTTCCAGATCGGGAGGGGGGGGGGGCTCATGACTAGTGGAAAGAGGATCTCCCTTTTATTCCAGCACACACACACACATTTTGCTCCAGATCCTCTCTCTTTCTCTCTTCTCCCTTTCTTTTCCTCCTGCACATGCTCTCTCTTCCTCTTCCTCTTCCTCTTCCTCCTCCCTCTTTTACTCCTGACAGCCTTGCAGCAACTTGCACTTCTGGTCTTCTCCTCCTTCTCTTCTAACCAAATCCTAGAAACTCAAGAGACCCGCTCCCTTAAGAGGCTATGCAGTCCAGCCCCATTCTGCTAGGCTGGAAGGCACAAGACAAGCCCTCCCAACAGAGAGCCACCCAGCTCCAGATGAGATTCTGGTGGCAGTCAACCAATATTAACCCTGCTATATGCTATATGCCTGCGAAACATGGACTGTCTACAGACGTTACATGCGACTCCTGGAACGATTCCATCAGCGCTGTCTCTAGAAAATCCTGCAAATCTCTTGGGAAGATAGGAGGACAAACGTCAGTGTGCTGGAAGAAGCAAAGACCACCAGCATTGAAGCAATGGTCCTCCGCCATCAACTCCGCTGGATTGGCCACGTTGTCCGGATGCCTGACCACCATCTCCCAAAGCAGTTGCTCTACTCCGAACTCAAGAACGGAAAACGTAATGTTGGAGGACAGGAAAAGAGATTTAAAGATGGGCTCAAAGCCAACCTCAAAAACTCTGGCATAGACACTGAGAACCGGGAAGCCCTGGCCCTTGATCACGCCAGCTGGAGGTCAGCTGTGACTAGCAGTGCTGCAGAATTTGAAGAGGCACAAATGGAGGGTGAAAGAGAGAAACGTGGCAAGAGGAGGGCGCATCAAGTCAACCCCGACCGAGAGCGCCTACCACCTGGAAACCAATGCCCTCACTGCAGGAGAAGATGCAGATCAAGAATAGGGCTCCACAGTCACCTACGGACCCACCAGAATACTGATCCTGGAAGACTATCCTACTTGGCCAATGAAGGATCGTCTAAGTATAAGTGTTTAGCAAACTTTGGTTTTCCAGTGTTGCCACTCCTCTATGCTCAATATGGGATTCTAGAGACAGTTAATCTATAGTATAAGAGTGTGTCCTAACTCTGGTCTTCCTGGTGTTTTGGATTTCAAACATGATGTTTTGGTGCTTAATCGGTAAAATCATAACATAAAAGGCTTTTCCTTAATCCCTCCTTATTATCCAACATTTTCGCTTATCCAACGTTCTGCCATCCCATTCATGTTGGATGTGAGACTCTACTGTAAGTAGAAATAAGGTTTTGGACCCCCCCCCTCCCCAAAGGAAAGTCCTCAGGGCTCACCTCTGGCATCTCCTCGGTGATGATGTCCACATGCTGGGCGGGTGCAATGTCCTCGTCGCTCTCCGTGTGCAGAGAGGGGTGCCGCCGGCCCTTGCCCCGCTTCTCTTTCTTCTGCTTCTTCTTCTTCTTGTCCTTCTCCAGCTTCTGCTGGTGCCGTCGCTCCTCCTCAAGCTTGACATACTGGTCGGAGACTGGGAGGCCTGCAGTGAGGGAACCGAGGAGGAGCTGAGCGAAAAAAAGATCTACAGGAAAGACGCTGGGAAGTGTCCTGAGACTTTTGTCTGAAAGGCCTACCTATGCCTGCCTGAGGATTTGGAATTCTCCTGTGTGTTATATTTCAGAAAGAGGTAGTTCTGACAGTTGCTTCTTTTAAAGAAGAGCCTCCAGCAACTAGGATTCATTGGCAGTCTCCCATCTAAGTCCTAACCAGACCTTATCCTGCTTAGACAAGACCTGGGCTTATTAATCATGAAACCTTCTTACCAGGGACCTTCAAAGGAACAGAGAGGTCAATCTGGACCACAGGGATGTGTTCGACACCAGGGCTGTCTTGATACTGCTGGACGAAAAGAAATAGAGAGGATTATACCATTATCATCATCATCATCATCATCATCATCATCATCATCATCATCATCATCATCATCTATACACATAATAATTGTGAACATATGTATGTGTATGTGCCTCAGGTGTCCACTTACACTGACAGGCTCCCGCTTCCACAAACAGCTAATAACCCACAGTGCTGAAAAGCCACCAAAACCCTCCCAAAGACACTGCAAGTTATAGCGAGCACCATAAACATGTCCAAAAGCTCTGCCAATTTCCTCTACAAACACCACACTGCCCACCACCCAAGTGAAGGCTTTCATACGGGGCAATTTCCTCACAGAAGTTCTGTTTTTCCTCCACTATAGACATCCCAGTGTTTCTTACACTCTCCACTGGTGTGGAATTTGCATGACCCCGCCCACTGCCTCTCCCTGAACCCTTTTCCTATTATTTTCTATGACACACAGCAAACAGAGGAATTGATCAGTGACTGAACATATTGGAAAAGTTTGGGGAGAATTTACCATCTTTTCTAGGAATTGTAGGTATTGGGATGTATAGTTCACTTGCAATCTAACAGCACTCTGAACTCCACCAATGATGAATCTGGAGCTAACTTAGCACACAGGACCCCCATGACCAACTAAACATACTGGAGGTCTTTGGAGGGATTTAGAGGAGTTGTAGTTCACCTATATCCAGAGCACAGTCTGTGTGCCAAGTTGATCTGGACCAAACTTGGCACACAGACCTGATATGCCAAAATTTGTTTACTGGAGGAGTTTGAGGGGAACTGGCCTTCCTTTCTGGGAGTTGTAGTTCACCCACAACCAGAGAAACTGTGACTTCCACCGATGATGGACCTGGATCAAACTTGGCACACAGAACCCCCATGACTAACTCAACTTATTGGAGGTGTTTGAATGGACTGACACACCATAGTGGGAGTTGTAGTTTATCCTACAGCCAGAGAACACACTGAACCACACCAAGCTCAAACAATGGTGGATCTGGATCAAATTTGGCATGCATACCTAATATGCCCAAATTTGAATACTGGTGGGTTTTGAGGGGAATTGGCCTGGACATTTTGGAGTTGTAGGTACTGGGATTTATAGTTCACCTGCAATCAATGAGCACTCTGAACTCCACCAAAGACAGAATTGGACCAAACTTGGCACACAGAGCCCCCATGACCAGCAAAAAATACTAGAGATCTTTGGGGAAAATTCACCTTGATTTGGGGGAGTTGTAGTTCGCCTCCATCCAGAGAGCACTGTGAACCCAAACACTAATGGATCTGGACCAAACTAAGCACACATACCTGATATGCCAAAATTTTGATTACTGGAGACATTTTGGGGGGTGGGGGACGACAACTGACCTTCCTTTCTGGGAGTTATAGTTCACCCACAACTAGAGAAATGGTGACCTCCACCAATGATGGACTTGGACCTTGCTTGGCACACAGAACTCACATGACTAACTCAACTTATTGGAGGGTGTTGAGGGGACTGACTCACCATAGTGGGAGTTGTAGTTCACCCTACAGCCAGAGAGTGCACTGAACTCCACCAATGACACATCTAGCGCAAACTTGCTCAACATAAGACACTTTAGGTACTGATGAAGTTTCTTGGGGTTAACCTGGCATGATATGAGTTGTAGTTCACCCACAACCTTATGCATTTTGTACAATTAAAAAATTGACCTTTTCAAATACCTCAGGCAACGCCGGGTACCCAAGCTAGTTATATTATAAGATTAGACAGAGTAGAAGAGAAAACCCACAAGACAAAAACTGTGTTTAAAAGTTTTAGTCCATCCTCAGATCCCACAAGAGTCAAAGGAAGATGGCTACTTGGAAAATCAAGCTTAAAAGCCATACGATACGAAGCATGCAGAAAGAAAGCAACGTCTCTTGGCAATCTGACAACAACAGACTCCTTATTTTGTCTTCCCATCTGTTTGCCGCATCTCCAGGATAATGGCGAAGCCAACGGGGACAGATATGGTTTCAGAGAATGCCATTTGATATCCCCAGACTCAAAAGGGGTCAATAGAGGACCCATGCAGTGTGGAAACTTTGAATAAACAGAGGCATGTCCCTGAGAAGTATCAGTCAAACAGAAGTAGGAGAAGAGAATAAAGCGACAGGCAGACAAAGAGGGCAATGGGGGAAAGGCTTTCCCTACCAGCTGACATTCATCTGCTTATCTATTTCCTTGAAGAGGACTATAAACTCATGCAGAATATGGTTGCAGTCCAATACAGGATACCTCAGGCCCTTGTTGATGGCCATTCCAGCCCCAAGGAGAAGTCAGACTCACCTTCTGCGGAGAAGGAGAACTTTTAATGTAGAAGGGGTTGTTGGCTTGCTCCTGTTTCCGGACTTCCCGGCGCTTTGGAAGAGAGAAAGGAGACCAAGAGTCGGATGAGTGGGAGACATCAGGTTTGGTGAGCTGCTCAAGAGGAAGAGAGGAAGCTCCTCAGCCCACCCTCCATAAGCGTGGGATGGCCGTCTCACCCGAGCCAGCTCCTCCTCGTCCATTTCGGGTTGCCGGTGCCTCGTGTGCCTCTGCTCCTCCTCGTGGAAGATGGTCCTGGGCTTTTCATCCTCTGACTCGCTCTCCGAGGGCGGCTCATTGATCCAGGCGTCAAGATCCAAGCTACAAATTAGAAGAGTTCTCATCTAGTCTCAGAGTACCATCCCAAAACCATCCTCCTACATGTAACCTCCCTGTGCAATGGCGCCCCTTCCACTCCTGCCCTTCGCTAAGAATGAGGATCAATTTCCCAGGAATCTGAAACCCTAAATGCTCCCAAATTGCCCTTTTGCTTTCTGACTGTTTGATGGTCGCCTTTTTCCTCATAACACGTACCCTTCTGGAACCGGAACCTTCTTCTGGGCCTTGGGGGCCACGGGGTTCAGCTCCCCGGCAAACAAGGCCATGACTTCCTCAGCCACTGGCACCTCTTTGAGCTGAAGCTTGTGGATGTACTTCATGAGCTGAAGGATGCAGGAGGCCTGCAGAGCAAAGGACAACATCCTACAGTTTTATTTACTGCTGTGGCCTCAGAGGCAGAGCTCCATCATGTCTCCATCCCAACAGAGGCCCACCCTCTATGGTCCAGATGCCACCGTCCTGCCCTTAGAGAAGGGTTTCTCAACCTTCCTAATGCCACGACCCCTTCCTTAATACAGTTCCTCATGTTGTGGTGACCCCCAACTATAAAATTATTTTCGTTGCTACTTTCATAACTGAAATTATGCTACTGTTATGAATAGTAGTGTAAATGATACGCAGTATGTGGGTGTATTGGCACAAATTCCCAATACACCCAAATTTGAAAACTGGTGAGGTTGAAGGGGGGTTGATTTTATCATTTTTTGTAGTTGCTAGGATTTATAATTAACCTACAATCAAAGAGCATTCTGAACTCCACCAACGATAGAATTGAACCAAAGTTGGCACACAGAACTCCCATGACCAACAGAAAATACTGGAAGGGTTTCATGGACATTGACCTTGCATTTTGGAGTTGTAGTTCACCTAGATCCAGAGAGCACTGTGGACTCAAACAATGACGGATCTGGACCAAACTTGTCATGAATACGCAGTATGCCCAAATGTGAACACTGATGGAGTTTGGGGGAAATAGACTTTGACAGTTGGGAGTTGTAGTTGCTGGGATTTACAGTTCACCTACAATCAAAGAGCATTCTGAACCCCACCAACGACAGAATTGGGCCAAACTTCCCACACAGAACCCCCCTGGCTTGAAGGGACTCACGGGTGTGAGCCTCCCTCCAGCCTCACACACTCTCCCTCGCCTGCACATGAGCACCATGCTGTCATGCGCCAAGCATGCTTGCTCTCCCCTCCCCGCTTGGAGTCTCAGAAACAGCCCTCCCGTTGGCGAAGAGGTCAGCCAATTGCAACAGAGAAGGGATTTTGGTGGGAGAATTTGCCACCTATTTCCAAAAAGGAAGAGAAGGACAAGTGGAGGGATCTTCGGCCTTCTCTGCCAAAGTGGTTCAGAAGACCATCAGAAATATGTTTTCTTTTTCTTTTTTAGTTATTTTTATTCACATTTTCCATTTTACACTGAAAGAGGGTGAACAATTTTTTGAAAGGAGAGGAAAGAAAGGAAAAGGAAAAGGAGAAGGGGAAAGAAGAATAGGAGGAGGGAGGGGAAAGGGCATGGGAAAATAAGAGTAAAGGGGGAAGGAACAGAGAGTATGGGATGATAGAGTATTAGGAAGAAAATGCAGAAAGTGAAAGTAGGGGTGTAGCACTTCCAGTGCGATCCACAGAGTTTGAGTCTTCAAAATAAACAATAAATTCCTTCCGTCGTATGCTGACTTCTTGATAAAGTCCACTCCTTTTTATATGTGTTAAATTTGAAATTTCATTTCTTCCTGCAAGTATTTTTTCAAAGGTTCCCAATTGATATAGTTTCTTTTACTAGGATTTTCCATTTATTGTGATAGAAATAAGTTTTCTGATGGTCTTTGGCAACTCCGCTGAAACTCCCTTGTGACTCCCCCCCCGCCAGGGGTCCCGAATCCCAGGTTGAGAAGCACTGCCTTAGAGGGAGAGAAAACCAGTCATACACAGATCCACCATGGTTTGGTCTCAGTTGACTGGTGAGAGGCCATCCCTCCATGTTTTAACTACCCTTAGATCAGTGGTTCTTAACATGTGGGTCCCCAGATGTTTTGGCCTTCAACTCCCAGAAATCCTACCAGTTGGTAAACTGTCTGGGATTTCTGGTAGTTGCAGGCCAAAACACCTGGGGATCCACAGGTTGAGAACTACTGCTTCAGAGGGACTGATGAGCAGCTGATGGCTGGGCCCCAACAACTGAAGAGAAACCTCCTTCTGAATCCCACCTGTCACTGCTTTGGCCTTAAAGGGTGAGGGGATCAGATCTATTGTGCCTTGACACTCACTCCATGTTCCACTTGCTATTGCCCAGATCTTGGAGGGAGAAAAGAACAGCCTGGTGGAGCTCTCTCTCCTTTCTCTCCATATTCCAGTTGCCATTGCCCAGAGGCCCTCCCTCCACGTTCTGCCATTGCCCTAGCTATAGAGGAACAAAAGAGCAGATGAACACAGATCTATGATGGCTGGGCCCTGACAACTGGAGAGAAAACCTCCTTCTGAATCCCAACTGTCATTGTCCAGACCTTGGAAGGAGAAAAGAGCAGCCTGGCAGAGCTCTTTCTCCTTTCTCCCCATATTCCAGTTGCCATTGCCCAGACCTTGGAGGAGGAGAAGAGAAGCCTGGCAGAGCTCTCTCTCCATATTCCAGCTGCCATTGCCTTGACTTTGGAAGCAGAGAAGAGCGGTCTGGCAGAACTTTCTCTCCATATTCCAACTGCAATTGCCCAGACCTTGGAGAGAGAGAAGAACAGCCTGGCAGAGCTCTCTGTATAATCCAGCTGCCATTGCCCTGCCTTTAGAGGGAGAAAAGAGCAGCTGGTACCTGCTGGACTTAATCCCTTCCTCCTCTTTTCCTTGTTTTTGTAAAACTAAGGGCACAGAACAGTCAGATTAACACTCTACACAGAGGGTAGCAAACACCAACATAGACAGACCATTTTCCGCTCAGAAGGAGAAGGAGGATCTTGATCTTGCACTCACCCTCTCCTGGACTTCGAGGTCTGCGCTCTGTACAAACTGGGGCAGGCGCTCCACCATCATCAGGGTCGCCTCCTGGGCCACTTCCTTCTCCCCGGAGTGCTCCTTCTGCTGCAAGATGGCGGCATAAAGCTTCACCATATTCTGGACGTACACGGCTTGGATGTGGCCCGGAAGGGTGGTCACTTTGGGCCGCAGCATGGCCTCGAGGGTCTGGTGGGGCTCTTCGAGGTGCCTGAGGGAGGAAGGGGACTGTTACACACTGCTCCCAAAGGCATTGTTCCAAAACTACCAGAAACACTCAACCCCAAACTACCAGAAACACTCAACCCCACAGCACTTACTCTGAGAACTCCCCACAAATCCAGGCGGCGGCATAGAGCACCTCGCAAATCCCATTCTGCTGGGTGTTGCTGGCCAAGAGGTGTGCATTGTCCAGCAGCATAGCCATCTGCGACACGGCAAACTTGCGGATGGCCTTCACCCGGATGGCCACGTCCAGCATCTGAGAGGCAATCAGGTGTCCGTGGCGGGTGCCCTCCAGCCGGGTCAGCTCCACCAGGATGCTGATGTACCTAAGGCAGATGAGAAGGGAAGAAGCGGAGATCATCACACAGGGAAACCCAATGCAACTGGTTTCCAGCAGGCCTTGGAATATAGACCAGCCCCTCAATGATTTAGATTTAGATCTCAATCTCTCCTCTTGAGCAGACACGCTGAAATCAGCTTCACCTTGCATCTATTTGGACCCTTCTTTGCTTCTCTTCCCCAGTTTGCCCTTTAGACACTTTGGACTACAACTCCCAGAATCTCAAGCAAGATCATCTGGGATCTGAACTCCAGTCACATCTTGGCTTTTCCCATGTTATGAGCTGCTGTTCCAGACCCCAAAAAGGACTGACCATTCAAAGTTTGTGATGTATTGGTAGTTGGACTGGCTGCAGATATCGATGATTTTGGTCAACAGCTCATCCCTGTAGGTGGTCCCTTCGGCTTTGTCCACATGGATCATCAGCTTCTTGACAATCTCCATCAGGTTCTTCTTAGAGACCTGTGGCCCAAGGAAGTGAACACACAAACACATGTTGCCAATATCAAAGATAACATGCTCATCTGCCACAAACTGGTAATCATCTCAGAACAGGAAGAGACCACAAGGGACCCCGGGCCCAACGTGTTGCCACCTTCAAAACATTCCTGAGAGAAACTGTGCTTCAAGACCCCCCAAAAAGGCGACCCCGTCATCAAACATCCTCAAAACATTCTTCTGAATGTGAAAGGAACACCTACTCTCTTATATAGTGTGATCCCCATGGATAATGGTGGACCCTATTGATATGAACAGCTTCCACCAGAGAGTTACCATGAAGCACCTAAAAAATGTCTATAGACCTATAACATGCATGGGCAAACTTGGGCCTCCAGGTGATTTGGACTTCCAACTCCCACAATTCCTAACAGCCAGTAGGCTGTTAGGAATTGTTGAAGTTGAAGCCCAAAACACCTGGTGGGCCCAAGTTTGCCCATGCCTAAGCTATACACATAATAAAAGTGAAAATAAGTATGTGTATATGTAGCTGGGATATCCACTCAGGAGACACCAAAGGTCCTCCCCCTTCAGTGACATTGCATGTAATAGTGAGAATCATGAACATCTAGAGCCCTGCCAATGTCCTCCCCAAACACCATCCTGCCCACCACGCAAGAGAAGGCTTTCATACGGGAACAGTTCCATCCTAGATTGTATGTGTTTCCACCACCATAGACATCCCAGTGTTTCTGACTCTCTTCATTGGTGTGGAATTTGCATGATCCTCTCCCTTAGCCCTTTCCTATTCTTTTCGACTCTGTCTGCACAACAAACAGAGCAGAATTAATCAGCAAATAAACATACTGGAGGGGGTTGGGTGAATTGACTCCACATGATAGAAGCTGTAGTTCACGCTGCATCAAGTCAGAACATGGTGACCCCCACCAACAATGGACCTGGGCCACATTTGAAACACAGAACCCCCATGACCAAAGAAAAATACTGGAGAGGCTTGAGGGGAATTCACCTTGATTTATAGCCGTTGTAGGCACTGGGATTTATAGTTCTCTGGCAATCAAAGAGAACTCTGGACCCCATCAATGATGGCTCTGGACCTCACTTGGCACACAGAAGCCCCATGACCAACAAAAAATGCAGGAGGGCTATGCAGGAGGGCTTTATTTATAGGAATTATAGTTCACCTACGGGGGACGTGAGAGAAGCCTCCTCGCAGGATTGCAAGACATCCAGGCATCCCCTGGGCAACGTCTTCGTAGACAGCTGATTCTCTCACCCCAGAAGCGACCAGAAGCGACTTGCAGCATGCAAGCAAGCAAGCAAAACAACCAACGGACCTTTTCAGGACCAACCATGACAATAATCTCAATCAAAACTGAAGGCATGTCAGCTGCCAAAGAACAACTGCTCTATGAACTGTGCCGAGATAAGAGATGCGATGTGCTGTGTGTCCAAGAAACACACAGGGATGAACAACAGAAAAGACTCAAAGTTCCAGGAATGATCCTAGTAGCGGAAAGACCACATGCGCAGTATGGAAGTGCTGTCTTTGTCAAACCAGGCCTCCAAGTCAGCAGTGCCCACAACATTGAAGAAAACAATATACAGGTTATAACAATAGAGCTTAATAACACCACCATCACTTCTGTGTACAAGCCCCCAAATGAAGAGTTCTGCTTCTCCTCCCCCGAGAACTTTGATAGGCACCAAAGGGTGGTAGTAATTGGTGACTTTAACAGCCATAGCCATGTATGGGGCTATGCTCCAGAGGATAAAAATGGAGAGGCTGTCTTCTCCTGGTCTGAACTGCACAAACTATCACTCATCCATGATAGTAAGCTCCCACCATCCTACATCAGTGGGAGATGTCACCTAGGTTATGACCCAGACCTCTTATTTGTAAGCGACAGCACTGTACAGCAATGCACCAAATCTGTGGGACCACCAATTCCAAACACACAGCACCGACATATAGTATGCCAACTGTTCCCAACATTAAGGCCTCAGGAAGTTCAATTTAAATTAAGATTCAACTTCAGAAAGGCAGATTGGACTAAATTCTCAGACATGTTAGATGACATGATCACATCGGTCGCGCCAATCCCTGAGAAATACGAGCACTTTATTGAAATCGTGAAAACTTGCTCACGGGCCTCTATACCAAGAGGCTGCAGAACCAACTACCTTCAGGGCATTACTCCTGAAACAGCTGCCTTGTTGGAAAACTACTACAGGCTCCACAACAAAGACCCATTTAGTGAGCAAACCCTTCAGGCAGCGCAGAGCATTGTGTCCTCCATCTCTGAAGCCAAGAAAGAACAGTGGATCAAGCTGACCACGGAGGTCGACATGGGCAGGAGCAACCAGAAGGCGTGGAGGCTGCTGAGACGGTTGAGCAACGACCCCTCACAAACTAATACCCATGTCAACATAAAGGCAGATCAGATAGCACACAAACTCTTGAAGAATGGGAAACCCAACCTTGCCACCAAAGTAGGAAGAAACCGATAGCCAGACAACCAGAGATTGAGAACAACAACCTTCATGAACCCTTTACATCTACTGAATTGGACATGGCTCTCAATAAATGTAAAGCTGGCTTGGATGATCTACAGATGGAACAAATCAAGAACTTTGGCCCAAAAGCAAGGCGCTGGCTGCTGGAGCTGATGAACAACTGCATTGCATCCTGTCAGATCCCCAAAATCTGGAGGAAAGCAAGAGTCATCGCCATCCTGAAGCCAGGCAAAGACCGTAATGACCCAAAAAGCTACAGATCAAACTCCCTGTTGTGCCACCTCTACAAAGTTCTGGAGAGACTTATTTTGCATAGAATTAGAGAAAAAATAGACCCATGTCTGATCCCACAGAAAGTTGGCTTCAGGAAAGGCAAAAGCTGCACATCGCAAGTGCTGAACCTGACTCAGCACATAGAAGATGGCTTTGAAAGGCAGCAGATCACAGGAGCTGTCTTCATAGACCTGTCAGCAGCTTATGATACTGTGAACCACCGCCTCCTCCTGAGAAAAATGTATAATATCACAAAGGACTACCATCTCACCCGCCTCATAGGAAACCTGCTACAAAACAGGAGCTTTTTTGTTGAGTTCCAGAGCCAGAGAAGCAGATGGCGGAAACAGAAGAACGGACTGCCTCAGGGGAGCGTGCTTGCTCCATCCATGTTCAACATCTAGACAAATGACCAGCCACTTCCAGAAGGGACAGAGAGCTTCATCTATGCTGATGATTGTGCCATTACTGCTCAAGCAGGGAGCTTTGAGATGGTAGAATGGAAGCTCTCCGAAGCTCTAGGTGCTCTTACTGCCTATTACAGGGAAAACCAGCTGATCCCTAACCCATCTAAAACACAGACATGTGCCTTTCACCTTAAGAACAGACAAGCATCCCGAGCTCTGAGGATCACCTGGGAAGGAATCCCACTGGAGCATTGCAGCACACCCAAATACCTGGGAGTCACTCTGGACCGTGCTCTTACCTACAAGAAGCACTGCCTGAATATCAAGCAAAAAGTGGGTGCTAGAAACAATATCATACGAAAGCTGACTGGCACAACCTGGGGATCACAACCAGACACAGTGAAGACATCTGCCCTTGCGCTATGCTACTCTGCTGCTGAGTATGCATGCCCAGTGTGGAACACATCTCACCACACTAAAACAGTGATGTGGCTCTTAATGAGACATGCCGCATTATCACGGGGTGTCTGCGTCCTACACCACTGGAGAAATTACACTGCTTAGCCGGTATTGCACCACCTGACATCCGCCGGGAAGTAGCAGCCAATAGTGAAAGGACCAAGGCAGTGACATCTCCAGCTCATCCCTTGTTTGGGCATCAGCCAGCACGTCAACGACTTAAATCAAGAAATAGTTTTCTAAGATCTACAGAGACACTCGCTGGAACACCTCAGCAAGCGAGAGTCCAAAAGTGGCAGGCTCAAACCCAGAACCTCAACCAATGGCTGATACCAAATGAGAGACTCCCCTGGGCACACAGAAGACTGGGCGACTTGGAAGGCGCTGAACAGACTGCCACTCTGGTACCACGAGATGCAGAGCCAATCTTAAGAAATGGGGCTACAAAGTGGAATCCACGACATGCGAGTGTGGAGAAGAGCAAACCACTGACCACCTGCTGCAATGCAACCTGAGCCCTGCTACATGCACAATGGAGGACCTTCTTGCAGCAACACCAGAAGCACTCCAAGTGGCCAGCTACTGGTCAAAGGACATTTAATAGAATACCAACTCTGCAAATTTTGTATTTTGTCTGTTTGTCAGTTTTGTTCTGTTAGAAATGTAATACAATTGACTGGTTGCCCTGACATGACGAATAGTTCACCTACATCCAGAGAGCGCTGTGAATTCAAACAATGATGGATATGCACCAAATTTATCAAGCATACCCGATATGCCAAAATTCGAATACTGGTGGGTTTGGGGGGGGGGGATTGGCATTGACATCTGTTAGTTGTAGGTACTGCGATTTATAGTTCACCTGCAATCAAAGTGCACTCTGCACCCACCGATGATGGACCTAGACCTAACTTGGCACACAGAACCCCAATGACCAACTGAAGGTACTGGAGGAATTTGAGGGGACTGACCCACCATGGGAATCATAGTTTACCCTACAGCCAGAGCAGACAGGAACCCACGGATGATGCATATAGAACACAATGGCCCGACATGACAAACTTTAAGTACTTATTGAATTTCAGGGGGTTAATCTGGCAAGATGTGAGTTGTAGTTCACTCACAACCTTATGCATTTTGAAAAAATTAAAGAAATGACTTCTAATAACCCGAGCAATGCCAGGTACCCAAGCTAGTTTTTAATAAAATCAGCCTACCATTCCATAGAGAAGGTCCAAGGCTCTGAGACGAATGGACTCATCTTTGTCATCCAAGCACTGGAGGATGAGGTCCTTATGGGACTGGACCGATTTGGGGTGGGTTTTCAGGATTTTGGACATCGCTAGCAGTCCTAAATACTTCACTGCAGAAAGGAAGAGGAGGAGGAAACAAAACAAAAGTTCACACGGTTATGAACGACATGGCCACGCTCTCATTTCAGGATGAGCATCATAAACAGATAAAAAGAAATGCATCCACACTGGTCCTTTCCCCACTTACAGTTCTGGTCTGAATCTTCTATCAGTATCCTCAGTTTCTGGACACAGAGCTGCAGAGAGAAAGCAGAGTGTGGATATTGTAAGACGAAGGAAGGGCTGCCTAAATGTCCCTCCCAGGATTTAGGGGGATGTTGCCATGGTAGCTCAAGTGGAATTGCAGCACAGGGATTGTGCTGTGAGAAAAAGGATCCTGGTTTTGAAAAACGATGAGTTTTTTTTATTCATGCTAGAGATTCTGCAGAATCTCTGTTCTTTTTCATCATGTTATGGCGCCACCATAAGGAATCTTGGAATTTGTCATTTCGAGGAAGACACAAGAAATGTTTCCTCCCCACCCAAGAATCAAAAGCAAGATGCCTGTAAAAGAAAAAGGGGCTCACCTGGATGCTGGCACTGTGGTTGGGCATCCCCGAGGAGAGCGAAATCAGAACTGGAAAAGGCACAAGAAGGCGAGCGCTTAAGCAACAGACGTTGGTCTAAAGATGAAATGACGAATCAACAACAAGACGCACCTTTGGAATTTCTTTCCTTACCTGCAATCACTGTGTTCACACATTCGTAGAGAAGGGACATGGCGGAAGTACTGGAGGGGAAAAGACAAAACGATTGCTTTACATCTCAGCCGAAGCAGTGCCGTGGAAGAAGTAGCCAGGATTATATTTTTTTAATCCTTGATACTGTGAAATATATTGCCATTTGACTCCTTTGGCTTTGAACTAAGGAACCCTGGGAATTGCAGTAGAAAGGTTTTATGAAACTACAACTCCCTGGACTCCAGAGCACTAAGCCAGGGCAGTTAAAGTGGAGTCATTGCATTGATTCTCCGGCCTAGATGCACTCTTTCTTCTTCAATTTTGTGGCATGATTTATCCCAGCGATCAAAGCACGGTGGTGCCTTAAAGGTTTCCTTCGAAGGCACGACCTCCTAAACCAGGCCCAGGCAAACTCTGGACCTCCAGGTGTTTTGTACTTCAACTCCCACAATTCCTAACAGCTGGAAGGCTGTTAAGAATTGTGGGAGTTGAAGTCCAAAACACTTGGAGGGCCAAACTTTGCTCAGGTCTGTCCTAAAACCTGTGCTTCAACAGACTCCCTATGGAAACTGGTTTTAAATGAAACACCAAACTTTTCAGCTAGACCTGCTCTCTCTCCCTCCAGTCAAACCAGTTTGTAAAACCAGCAACATACAGCCAGGGCTTCCAAAAACCGTCAGAGAGGTGAGGGAAGGCACAAGGGACGAGAAGCCACAGCGGGGTTCCACAGCGCAAAAAAGGAGGGACTTAACAGCCCTTCCTTTCAGGTTCCAGTCTGAACGGGATCCCTTTGTTTGCCTGGCTTTTGAGCAATATTTTATTGCACAAAGCGGACAACTCTTCTCCCTCTTTCAGCACTTCGGCTTCTTTCCCTCTTCCTTTCCCATTTGGGAAAGATCTGAGGACCAAAGGGAGGGACAGCATTCTTATTTGGGGGAAGACCTTCATTACGCCGCAAGCATGTACCAGCATATATAAGATAAGCTTGCACATAAAAGTAAAGGTTTCCCTTGACATTAAATCTAGACATGTCTGACTCTGAGGGGTGGTGCTCATCTCCATTTCTAAGCCAAAGAGCTGGCATTGTTTGTAAACACCTCCACGGCCATGTGGCTAGCATGACTGCATGGAGCGCCGTTACCTTTCCGCAGAAGCAGTACCTATTGATCTACGCACATTTGCATGTTTTTGAACTGCTAGGTAGGCAGAAGCTGGGGCTAACACGGGAGCTCACCCTGCTCCCCAGATACGAACTGCTCACCTTTCGGTCAGCAAGTCCAGCAGCCCAGCGATTTAACCCGCTGGGCCACTGGGGGCTCCTAAGCTTGCACATACTTCCATCAAAACTATGTTCGAGGAGACCAGTAAAAAATGGGATGAAGCTAGTACATTTTGCACCCTCCAGAGTCTAAAATGGCCATTGCCAACACATCTCCAGAGGCAGCAATGGCTGGCAATGAGTATTAGTCACCATAGGATGTCTGGTTTGTGTCCTCTGACGGGATTGGTCCACTAGAAGCCTGAACGCCTAGTCAACTAAAGCAGGATGGGAGAAAAGAGGATGGCAGGAAGGAGGCTGGAGCCGGCGGGAGGGTCGAAGTATACATACTGTCCACTTTGCGGCATTTCGTGGGAGCAGACTAATTTTTTATCTTGGGTGGGGACTCTACCTTCTTTAGGTAATTGGAAGAGGGCGCGCTGGCTGTTTGGGAAAGAAAGGCACATTAAGTGGAGGCTGTGGGGCTCAAGGAGGGGAAAGAAAGCGTTCAGGAGGCGGCACTGTCTTGGGGCGGGTGGCTTTTGCCTTTTCTTTTAAAGGTAATCATGACCACTAAAGAAGGCAATGAGTCATGTATAAGGTTCTTGAGTCTTGCTTGAATTTGGTCAAAGAACCAGGAGTACTATGGTTATCTCATTCAGATACGGGAAGGATCCAGACTACAGTCAACCCTCCACTTTGGTGCCAGGAAAGCCAGGAATTATTATTTTTAGTATTAAAATGTTCTCTCTAGAAGGATCTTCCAGTGTGACTTCATGGTCAACTTCCTCTGTTGCCCATGAAGTCACACCGTCAATCTGTCAATCACAAATTCATAGACCTAGACATTCTTAGAGCGGAAGCCTAGAAATGTCTAGGTCTCCCAGTACAATTTTAGGATAAGCTTCCATTGGATGACTACATAACAGTGCTGGAAGACCTAGAATTATCTATTTTTTAAAATTTGTTCATTTTCATGGGGATCCCGCACCCTTTCACCCCAGTGAATACGGAGGGCTCGCCGTAGCCCAGTGCTAGCATTGAAACACACAGTTTCCTTCCACCTTACAAAGCAATGGTAACCCTTACCTGTGTATGAGATTGGTCAAGGGTTCGATCAGCTTCTTGCCCAGCCTGGGTTCCAATGGAGTGAGAGCACCAAACTGCAAAGCAATGGAAAGAAAAGGCAGTAAATGACAGTTGCTTTGAGACCAGGCATGGGCAAACTTTCTACCTTGAGAGCCACAAGCTAGCACTCCCTGCTAGGAGGACTGGCTTCCAAGTGATGGAAGGAAGGAAGGGAAGGAAGAAGGGAAGAAGAGAAGGGTTGAAGGAGAAAGAGGGAGCGAGGGAAGAAGGGAGGAAAGGAAGGACAAAAGGAAAGGAAGGATGAAAGAGTGGAAGGGAATGGAGGGAAGGAGAAAGAGGGAGGGAAGGGAGGAAGGAAAGAGAGAAGGAAGGAAAAAGGAAAGGAAGGAAGGAGAAAGAGGGAGGAAAGAGGGAAGGAAGGATGAAAGGGTGGAAAGGAAGGGACGAAACTGAGGAAGGAAAGGAAGGGAGGAAAGAGAGAAGGAAGGAAAGACAAAAGGGAGGGAAAGACAAAAGGGTGGAAGGAAAGGATGGAAGGAAAGAAGGGAAGGAGGAAGGAAAGAAAGAGAAGAGAAAGACAAAAGGGAGGGAAGGACGAAAGGCTGGAAGGAAGGAAAGGAAGGAGAAAGCAAAGARAGAAGGAAGGAAAGATGACAGTGGGGAAAAGAGGATGGGAAAAGAGTGAGGGGAGGGAGGGAACAGAGAAGGAAGGAAAGACCAAAGGAAAGGAAGGAAGGAGAAAGAGGAAGAGAAGGAAAGAAGGAAGGAAGGAAGGAAGGAAGGAAGGAAGGAAGGAAGGAAGGAAGGAAGGAAGGAAGGAAGGACAAAATGGTGGAAGGGAAGGAAGGAGAGAGAAAGAGGAAGGTAAGGAAGGCCTGGAGGGAGGGAWGGAGGAAGGAAAGAGAGGAAGTATGAAAGGGTGGAAGGGAAGYAGAAAGAGGAGGGAAGGAAAGAGATGATAGGATGGTGAGAGAGAGGAGGACCTGAAAAAAGAGCCCAAGGGGCCACATCCGGCCCCTGGGGCTGGGTTTGCCAAACCTGCTTTAGATTCTATAAAAATTCAAGAAGACAATGCTGTGACTAGCCTTAGAAAGTGCCTTCTATTTTGGGTGGCTGTCAAACTGCGATCGAACTCACAAATGTCAGGTTCGTTCCCCCAGAAAAGATAATTGTCTAAGTCCAAATGTCATAGCAAAGACAGCTCACATACACTCCTGCTTGCACCTTACTCTTTCCCCCACAAGAAGCTGAGAATTAGGCAATTATTTTCTCCTCAATGATATATATGGTCTGTCATTCTACCTTCGTTTGCGCCGGTTGCTGCCACCTCTTAAATGTGACGATAGCACTTCTGTTTGGGTTTCCTTTCTCTCTCTCAACCTGCTAACGAAGATGACACCCTGGAATACTTGCCAATTTTATAATTTTAATGAGGACCCAGTTGTTGGTGGAGGATGTCATCAGCTTGAAAAAGAGCGGAGCAAGGGAAAGGTAGTTTTTCGGGTTGCGACGGGCCAGTTCGCAGATGACATTGACGGCCGCTGACTGGACGCCTGGGAACACAGAGAGTAGGAGCAGGCTTATAGAGACAGAAGATCATTTTGCGTGTTACAGTGCCCCATACACAGAAAGGATTTTCTGAAGTGAGAAGTCAACGACATCTATCTTGGGCCAAACAAAAGACGCATTGGGGTGTGAGGGTGAAGCTTCAGAGTCTTTTCTCTTCTTCTTCCCTTACTGAGTTCCAGAGATGGCTTCCTCAGCCCTCGTCACCAAATCAGACCCCCAAAAGCCCACCCTAATCCCATTCTTCCAAGTTGCTCACCAGGGTCTGGGTCTTCCAGCTTCTCTTTAAGGCGAGGGAAGGCAGGCCGGAGGGATTCGGGATACTTCAAGAACACTTTGTACATGATTAACACTGCTTTCTTGCGGATATAAGGCTTGGTATGAGACATCTGAGGGTGGGAGGAGGAGGAAAGAGCCCCTTATGGGTTATTTTTGCAACAATTGAGAAAAAGATTGTAACATTCCACAGCTCATTAACTATGTCCCTCACCCACTGTGGCCTAAAGACACTATGTTAAGAAACAGCTTAAACTGTTTGGGTATGTTTCCCTCCTCTCCTAAGGCATGCTGCTGTTTACAACACTTCTACAAGGTGCAAAAAAACCAAACAAAAAAACCAAAAACAAATAGTAATATTAAATTAAAATTACTTAGTTAAGTCAGCCGTAGCAGAGCACCTGATGAACCAACCTGGACACAGCATATTATTTCAGAATACAAAAATGCTGGACCACTCTTAAGAAGCACCATGTCAGACTACACAAAGGAGCTACTGAAATCCACAAGCATGTGGACAATTTCAATAGAAAGGAAGAAACCATGAAAATTAACAAAATCTGGCGACTAGTATTTAAAAACTCTAAAAGCAGGACAGTAAATAAAGAACAACACTCAAAAAACAGGGGAATTCCAGACAAGAATCAACCAAGGCCAGCTAACACCTCCACACAAAGGATTCCCCCAGGCAGCAACCAGCCAGGCTTTGAAGCTGCAAGGCCATTCAATGCTAACCAAGGTGGCCAACTGCAACATTCTCACTTGCCTCAAGCAGACAAAAGTTCTTTCTCCCGCCCTGGACATTATTCCACAGGTATATAAACTCCACTTGTATACTTTCCAATCTACTCCTCAACCTCTGAGAATGCTTGCCATAGATGTGGGTGAAACATCAGGAGAGAATGCTTCTGGAACATGGCGAGACAGCCCAGAAAACTCATAGCAACCCATTACTTAGTTATGTAATAATATCTACACAAAATGCTGTCATGCGGGCCTCACCAGTGTCATGATGTCATTGGCCAAATCTCGGGCAAGATCCGGCGTCACGAAGCAGGACAAACCGGTCAGCGCCACTCCGGTATCATACTGGTTTGGGCTGCTCAAGTCCTAAGGGCAAGACAGGGGGACATTAAATGCTTTCCATACCATTGAGCCATAGCGCTTTTTAAGCAGGTGTCAACAGTGGAGATACAGCCTCAGATAATAAATACATAATCACCTTCCGGATCTGGTTGGTGGTCAGCATGATAACGTCAGTCCCCTCATGAAAGCACTGCGAGGCGGCCAAGTACCCGATCCTCTGTGGGATCAAAGGAAAAGAAGTCACGCCTAGAGGCCAAACAGACTCTGTGGCCATCTATTATAGCAGAAGATTGGCAAACGCTAGACCTAGAATCCTCCCTTCCCCTGCATTTATGACTTTGGGAGATTTGACTATGTGTATTATAGTTGTCAACAAATGTGACAACTCTTCCAAAGGAGGAAGATTTTTCGACAGAGCTGTCTCCACAGATCAGGCTCCATCTGAGAATCATAAACTGTACCGACATTCATCACCTTCCTGAAACAATGGCTCTTCAACTACGACTTCCGAAGAGGCTACTCACTTTGAAGGTGAATTTGGAAGCACTCATGACCTCAATGATGTTGAAGGCCGCCCAGCTGATATCGTAGCCCAGCATCTGCAACTGTTAGAAGCAGAGAAGGGAAGATTGAGGCACTGATTTCAGAAAGGCAAGAATCACAAGATAATTTTATCGCAAGACTTGAGCAGCACGGACTCACAAATTCTGTCTTGCTGTAGCATGAGAACTGGCCCCGCACCTTCCAGAAATGAGAACATTATTTCAGGCTCTCCTCCAATGTCATCCAACCTCTTCTTCACAGAAACAGGGAGAGTAAGGCAACTCAAGATCTCAGCAAGTGTCATACTTACATAGGTGAGCTTACAGACGGCATTTGCTTTCACCGCAATGTTGTCCTGCTTCAATTCCTGCTTGATCTCATCAATGCACTGAGAGATGTACTTTGCCTAGAGGAAAAGAAGAGGGAAGAGAGAGAAAAGTGGAAGGATAAGTAGGTTCCTGCAAAGAGGCTCGATAAGCAAGCAGAACGCTTCACTCTTGAGACACAATGTTTTAGTTTCATCATATTTTGCCCACTGTCCAAGAAAGCCACCTGTTTACTCTCTACAGGAGTTGCTTCTCTCAGCTCTCCCTGACTGTGAGGACTACAGATCATGCAGAGACACAGCAAGCAAACTCCTCAAAGGAGAGATAAACCAAGAGTTGGGAATTAACTCTCCAATCAAAGTACCGGCCCTCCAAAGGGGTTGACCAAAAAAAGGTGGATGTATAACCACAGTTCGGCCATTGATGAACCAAACGTGGGATGGAAACCATGCCATTTGACGTTCAGAGCATCAGGCCAACATTCATCAAAGCCGGCTGTTGTTTACCCAATTCATTCATCATAGTTTACCCTACCTTTCTACAGAAGTGTTTAAGGCACTGTGTAACCTAGAAAATGAACACTACATTAAGACCAAAGTTATCTTTTTAATATTGTTTGCACCAACTACTCAGCTGATTTGAGATTCTCCTTGCCGACTCCACCAAAATCACAAACTCCCAAGACCTGTTGTTTTATGTAAGGGCCAATGTGAGCTGTGTGTTCCCAATCATGGGATTTCGTGCTATCTCAAAACCACATTATGAAATGGGAAATCAATCCCAAGGATCTAAAGAGCTCTACCGAGGAAGCAGGACTGAGTCACAATGGCAACTGAACTATTAAGCGTTTGGACAGCATCTTGCCAAAGATGTGGACGACCATCAGGCAGGAAGACTTGGAATTCGGCAGCGGAGGCAACTCATACAAAGCTTCAGGCCCTTGATCGACATTTTTCTAGCTATTGCAACTTGGCCAAAGAATAAAATGAAAACCACAGCACTTGCTGAATTATACTTGGAAAAATTAAGGAAACCACCAGCCACGGAACATCAGCTTCTCCTTTCAGGTCAAAATAGTAGTTTACTGGTTTTAATCTATTGTTATATGCTACTTTAGTTATGTGATGTATTTTATATTTTGTGAGGCATTGAATTTTGCCATTTACTTTGTTGTGAACTGCTTTGAGTCTCCGCAGGTCTGAGAAAAGCGGTATATAAATAAATAAGATGGTTTTACAGCACTGGCAGTAATGAGAGATGCTGAACGATCATCCTTGTTCGGCATGCAACCGATCACCAAAGACATTGTGCCTCATGCTAAATATTTGATGACCATGTCAGAGCTGGAGAAAACAGATGTCAAGGAATCCCTCGCGCATTGAGCCCAGGTCTCCAGCTTTACTTGCCTCAAATGACTTTTTTCTAAAGCCACTAAAAAAAATTCACCAGGTGAAGATACTGGGGAGACAACAATCCTCAGTTATACTATTTTCACATTTCATCAATAACTGAAGAAATTTAAAGGCCCGATTTCCATCTGCTCTGTACGACAAACATCAGATTAATTCCCAAGCCCACAAATCCATGCCCACATCAGAGACAATTTGCTGATGAGGATTATCTGTGCCGGAGGAAAAGTAGGGTAAATATAGAAGGATGAGCCTGGCTCAGATTTTGGAAGAAAACTCCCTAATTTGGCATCTGCGCTGGCTTTAAACATGACACATATGGCAACTCAAGGGGCAGCATAGCTGCATTTGATACACATCCCTGACAAGGTGGCCAATAGTTGTGATATGACCTTCTTCTAGTTTCAGGGCTTTTCAGCTCGGAGAGAAAAGCACTCTGAAGATATCAGATAGAAGATGGGCAAGGGGGAGGAATATGGGGCGGGGGGGGGGGCAGAAACAAGGACAGCCTGATCTCCATATGGTGATATGAGTTGTGTTGGGGGGGGGGGGGGGAGAGAAACAGACAGCTCCTCTTAGAGGTGATACTGCAAGCCCCGTCTTCCCAATTTACACTCTGCCACGCTGAGTGTGATTTTTAGCAGGTTTACACTTTTGCATTCAAATCCTGTACTCCTTCAGAGAGACAGGTCACAGAGAAAGAGTTCACATTTATAGACCTGCACAAGAAAATGCCTTTGAATATATGTTCTATGCCAAGTTGGATAGCCATGGCTTTTGAGGCTGCTGACCAGACTTGAAAGGAACTGACACCCAGCACTGGCTACCTAGAAAGCAGAAATGCGATGTGTAAAAGGAACCAAAGAGCAGGCGGCCGCCAAAGCTGGCATTGGGCACAAAGGCAATGCCAGAAAGACACGTCTTGAGTTTAGCCATGAGTCATGTGGCGGGAAAACATCACTGGGCGGCAGAAGAAATAAGGAGGAAGAAAGGCTTTTTTTCTGGCTGAGAAAGAGAAGGGGTGGCTTGGGGCAGGGGCCTGGAGGAGGCTCCAGAAAGCAGCAAGGCAAAGAGGAAAAAAGGGAGTGGGCCAAAGAGGAGGCAGAGAGAAGATAGGTGTGCAAATCTGAAAGGCCCTTTTGTCTCCCAGGAGAACAAGCTCCCTTTGTATCTAGGAATGAAGTATTTCTCTTGTTGTTGAGTGGGGATTGCTTTTTGCCAAACATAAGCATTCCCTGCATCTCCTCAGCTGCCAAAAGATTAGGGAAGTGTCCCAATGTAGCCCTCCATAATGGAGATCAAAGTCTCCCTATCCTTTGATCGGCAAGACTCATTTTGGCAGGACTAAAATGGGTCACCTCTGCTCCCCTAGCAAAAAGATAAAACTTCTACAGCAGCATTTTCCAAATTGTGTGTCACATGAAAAGTGATCCCCGCTTCTCTGTCCCCACAAAGGGTGCTGGTGTTCAAATGTAGGTTCTGCTTTAATTTTATAATATGCACCATTTGTTGATTGAGTTGCAACAATTTCTACCAAATTGGATACATTTCTCATTAACAAAAGAAAGTCAGTTAACAATTATGTTTGTGATTAACCATATGGAGATGCTATAGAGGAAAATACACAGCATCAACTGTAGGACATTTAACCAACTACCAAACTCACAAGTTTTGTATTTGTCTGTTTGTTTGCTTTGTTCTGTTAGAAATGTAATATAATGGACTGGTTGCTCTGACACGACAAATAAATAAATAAATAAATAACTGTAGGACATCAGTGAAAAGGGGAAAGGTCTGAACGTTTCTACAGAAAAGATTGAGATGTATATAATACATTATTTAACACACATTATTAAATACATTATTTTAATATATATATATTTAATATATATTATTTAATATATATATATAGGGTATTACATATTAAAAACACCCATATTTACTCGGGTCAAATGCGCCATCTAATCTAATGCACACCTCAATTTTCAAAACCAAAAAAAGTATTTACTGCTAAATGTAATGCACAAAAAGTGGCCAAACATGCTATCTGTCCATTACAGTTGCTTAGGATTCCTTCTTTAAGAATGAAAGTGTTAGAGCACTAAAGCTTCCAGCAACAGAAAGGATAAACCTTGGGATGTATCTACACTGAAGAATGGATCTACTTTATAACTGCCTTGGTTCAATGCTATGGAATCATGAGGGTTGCAGTTTGACAAGGCCTTGTGCCTTCTCAGTCAAAGGATTCTTATGCCTCATGCCATTTGTTTGTAAAGCTATCATCCTCCCAACCCTGCTATATGCCTGTGAAACGTGGACTATCTACAGACGTCACATGCAACTCCCGGAACGATTCCATCAGCGTTGCCTCCGAAAAATCCTGCAAATCTTCGGAAGACAGACGAACAAATGTCAGCGTGCTGGAAGACGCAAAGACCACCAGCATTGAAGCAATGGTCCTCTGCCATCAACTCCGCTGGACCGGCCACGTTGTCCAAATGCCCGGTCACTGTCTCCCAAAGCAGTTGCTCTACTCCGAACTCAAAAATGAAAAACGGAATGTTGGAGGACAGGAAAAGAGATTTGAAGACAGGCTCAAAGCCAACCTTAAAAACTGCAGCATAGATACCGAGAACTGGGAAGCCGTGGCCCTTGAGCGCTCTAGCTAGAGGTCAGCTTTGACCATCAGTGCTGTAGAATTTGAAGAGGCACGAATGGAGGACGAAAGGGAGAAAAGTGCTAAGAGGAAGGCGCATCAAGCCAACCCTGACTGGGACTGCCCTCCACCTGGAAACCGATGCCCTCTCTGCAGCAGAATATGTTGATCAAGAATAGGGCTCCACAGTCACCTATGTACCCACCGCCAGGACACTGCACTTGGAGGACATTCTTACTCGAGGGATCGCCTAAATAAGTATGCCTCGTCAAACTATAAATCTCAGGATCGCATAGGATTGAGCTCTGGTCATTAAATGAGAGATGATGTCCCTCAAAGAGGAGCTCCAGGTGCAGCTCCTGAAGCAGCTTCCCTCTTTGGCTCAGCACTAAGATTACCGTATGATGCAGATCTGCACATAATTTGAGTTGCTTTCCTTTCCTTTTGAGGTATAGCTTCCAGGACCTAGATAGTCTACCTTTTGAGTACTGACTAGGCCTAAACCCGTTTGGCTTCTGTGACCAGACAGAACGCAGAGCTATTGCAAGAAAGTGAGACTGATAAGCATATCCCATTGAATTCTATCAAAGGTCTGCAGCATGGGATACACTCTCACCTCATACCAAAGCATCCTCCAAATCGTAGCCTCATGCCGAAGAATGCAACAGAGCTGCCGAAGGCCCAGGTTTTTGAGGAAACGTGAAATGTAAAGATGATGGTAATAATAACAGTCAATAGAAACACACTACTGACTATTCATATTGTGGAAGTTACTAACATTCCTATTAATGACACTTTTGAGTCTCCGTTGTAGCCATTTTGAGTCTTGTGGAGGGAAAAAGCAGGGTATAAATCACTATCATCATAATGAAACTATGTTTTGCTAATATTAACTGTACTGCTGTCAGAACAGGGTCACAAAAGGCCTACTTCACCTTTATTAGACTGGATAGATTACAATTGGCTGCAACTGTATCCCTGAGGAGCCTTTTGTCAAAAGGAACATTTGCTTTAAATAGTAGCCAACATGATTTGTCCAAGATACACAAAAATAAAATGTTTCTTTCAACAAACGCCTCCTCAGGGATACATTGCAACCTGTTGTATTCATGCGTGTTTTTGTTTTCTCCTTACTAGAGAAAACAAATACAACTAGAGAAAAATGCTACTGTGCCACTGAGACAGTATCATCCACAACTTTTGTTGTGTCCCTTTGAGTAGTTTCCGATAATAAATCTATCAAGGAGTTTTCTTGACCAGATCTGCTCAGAGAACCATCAATTAACAGAGATTTGAACCATGAATATAGTGAATTTTTTTAATTGACCCTCTAAAGGACTGGAAACTATCTAGGAGATCTAATAAATTAAATAGTTAAATAGATGAATAAATAAATGAGACACAGGTTGAGTATCCCTTGTCCAAAACACTTGGAGCAGAAGTGTGTCGGATTATGGACTATTTACAGACACATATTGGTGGTGGGACCCCAATCTCAATACATGTATGTTCTATATGCATCTTATATACAAAGCTATGACTCATATTTTGACTAATGTGTCCATTGAAGCATCAGAAAACAAAGGTGCGAACCTCTGAGTGACCTTAAATATGAGATATAGATAATAAAGGCCAAATAAAACTGACCCATACACATTATATGCATAATAAATAGAAGAGCTGAAAATATAAACAGGTAAAAAGCAACAAATGTAAATAAACAACAAATAGAGCAGATTAATAAGTACATAGTCAGTTTAGTAAAAATGGACAAGCAATAAATATAAATATAGGCCACAAATACATAAAAAGTAAATAATAGCTATAAGAGACCCATAGTAATATATATGGGAGAATATGTGTGTTTATGCATATATACGTGTGTGTGTATATATATATATATACCATATATACTTGAATATAAGCTGACCTGAATATAAGCCGAGGCACCTAATTTTACCACAAAAAACTGTAAAAACGTATTGACTCGAGTATAAGCCGAGAGTGAGAAATTTAGCTTGTACTGGTAATCATCAGTAGGTTAAATGTTTTTGAGTATTTACATACAACTGTAATTTAAGATAAGACTGCCCAAATCTGATTAAACCATTATTCTAACCTCCTTCAATGCAAATGTGCTTACCTATTACTAATAATGATAGAGTAGAATAATAAATGCAATACCATGTAATAAAAATAATAATAGAGTAAATAATAGAAATGTAATAATATTGGTAATAATAAAGTAATAAATGTAATAATAACAATAATAGAGTAAAATAATAAAAGTAATAATAATAATAAATATAATAAAATAATAATAGAGGAAAATAATGTAAATATAATAATAATAATAGAGTAAAATAATAAATGTAATAAAAATAATACTAATAACAGAGTAAAATAATAAATAAGCTTGAATCGAGTATAAGCCAGGGGGAACTATTTCAGCCTAAAAAGGGGCTGAAAAAATAGGTTTATACTCGAGTATATACAGTGTATGTGTGTGTGTATATATATATATATATGATAAAAATAAAAAGAGAGGCAAATACTAATAAGAAATCATAAATAAATCAATAACTAATATAACAAATATTAGCAATGAACAAATATAATATTAAATAGATTGACACAAATAAAAAGCAATGGATATAAATAATATAAACAAAGTGTTAATACTAAATAACAAATATTAATATAATGGACATTAATAAATAGCTTAAAAGATAATAAAGATAAATATAAATAGTGAATAAATAAAAATAAAAAGCAATGGATACAAGGAATATAAATAAATTTCAAATAATAGATATTATAAATAATATAAACAGTAAATTGTAAACATATAGATAAAAACAAAATATAATAAATATTAAGAAATAGTTAACAAATAAAGAAATAAGATAAAAAAATCAATACTGTCGATACAAATATTATATTAATAAATTGCAAATAAATAAATAAATAATAACTTCTTTTTGTTCTCCGCCTCCATCTCCCCAAAGGGACTCGGGGCGGCTTACAGATGGCACAGTGTGCCTAAAACAATGCATAATAAACACACAATACAAGATAACCAATATTCCAAATAATAAACATTAATAGTGAACAAATATAATTATAGATAAATTAGTACGCAATACATATAAATAATATTAATAAATTACAATGAATAGATAACGAACATTATAAATAATATAAGATTCCTTAATCATTAATTATTAATAGTGAATATAATGCAATATAAATAAATTATAAAGAATAAATGATGAGTATTCCAAACAATATATTAAACAGTAATAAAAATGCATAGATAAAAAAAGCAATTGATATCAATAATATAAATAAATAATAGTTTAAAAATTTTATAAATAATATAAACGGTAATAGTGAACAAATATAATACGAATAATTATCTATATAAATAAAAATGTTATGTTTGTTTGTGGGATTAACAGAACTCAAAAACCACTGGACAAATTGACACCAAATTTGGACACAAGACACCTAACAACCCAATGTATGTCCTTCACTAAAAAAATTAATTTTGTCATTTGGGAGTTGTAGTTCCTGGGATTTATAGTTCACCTACAATCAAAGAGCATTCTGAACCCTACCAATGATGGAATTGAACCAAACTTGGCAGACAGTTCTCCCATGACCAACAGAAAATACTGGAAGCATTTGGTGGGCATTGACCTTGAGTTTTGGATTTGTAGTTCACCTACATCCAGAGATCACTGTGGACTTGAACAATGATGGATCTGGACCAAACTCTACATGAATACTCAATATGTCCAAATGTGAACACTGGTGGAGTTTGAGGAAAATAGAATCTTGACATTTGGGAGTTGTAGTAGCCGGGATTTATAGTTCACCTACAATCACAGAGCATTCCGAACCCCACCAACAATAGAATTTGGCCATATCTCCCACACAGGACCCATATGTGGGCCACAGCAACGCGTGGCAGGGGGCGGCTAGTAATAGATAAAAATACAAAACACCGCACATAAATACATATAAATAATAAATCATTTGAAATAAACAATACAGCAAAAATAAATAATATAACAATAGATGAAATTAGGAAGCAATTGATACAACAAATATAAATGGTAAAGAATTAGATTAGATTTATTCTAAATAATATAATAAACCATTAATAAACAGTGAACAACTAGAATAATGGTAAAAGATAGATACAAAATAAAAAGGAATGGCTACAAAGAATCTAAACGCATTGAGAAGGGGAAAGATGACACTCCAAGAGGAGGCGGCGGGAGCTCACCTCGTCCTCCTTGTGGTTGCGGATGCCCCTCACGAGGTCCTGCAGGTTCTTGTCAAACATGCGGTCGATGCTGCCTTTGACCATCTTCAGAGCCATGGCGGCGGGAGGAGGAGGAGGAGAAGGAGAAGAAGGAGGAGAGGAAAGCCGCCGCTGGACTCCAGGCGGGTGGGGGAAGGCTGCTTCCAGCAACACCGGCGGCGAGAAGGCAGTCCTCGGCCTCAAAGGCGCGCTCCCATCCCGGGGCGGCGGCCGCCTCCAGTCCCTTCTTTCCTGCCCCTCCGGCGCCGCTTCTCTGAGGCAATTAAAATGGCAAAATGGCGAAGAGTCAGCTGAGAAGAGGAAACTCAAGCCGCGCCCCCTTTTTGCGCGACGGCGTCAGCACGCAAGAGCGCCGGCTGGAAGCCCCGCCCACTTCATACTAACTAGGGTTAGCACGCAGGCGGCGACTGCTGGAAGCCCCGCCCTCTTTTAGCCTCACCAACGTCAGCACACAGGCCGCGCCCGAATGGAAGCTGAGAGCCACGCCCCCTTTTGATGCCGGCTGACGTCATCACAAAGGTAGTTCCTGGCTTTTCAATATTCACCGTCAGTACGCCACGCCCCCTTTTATGCCCACCAATGACAGCATGGAGGCGGCGCCCTGTTGAGAGCCAAGCCCCCTTTTGTTGCCCATCAGCACGAAAACATACCAAGCCACCTTATTTATTTATTTATTTACTTTGCTTATATACCGCTGTATCTCAAGCCCGAAGGCGACTCACAGCGGTTCACAAACAGTAAAAACAGTAGAAACAGCAGTGGTTCCATACAACATATAACAATTGACTTAACACATTATCCATAAATTACCAATAAGCAATTACAATGCACAATTATTACAAAAAACAACCGTACCCAATCTCTCATCATCCAAGCGTAGTCCAGGTTCGTCGTCCATTGTTCCATTCCTATGTTCCATTACCAGATTGCACTAAATTACTCAAACGCCTGCACAAACATCCAGGTCTTCACCTTTTTGCGGAATACCATTAGAGATGGGTGCTAGTCTAATGTCCGTAGGAAGGGCGTTCCACAGCCGAGGAGCCACCACCGAGAAGGCCCTATCTCTCGTCCCCGCCAGCCGAGCTTGAGAAGCAGGTGGGATCGAGAGCAGGGTCTCCCCGGAAGATCTCAAAGTGCTGGTGGGTAAAATTATATTTATTTATTTATTTATTTACAGTTCTTATATTCCGCCCTTCTCACCCCGCAGGGGACTCAGGGCGGATTACAGTAAACACATATATGGCAAACATTCAATGCCAGTTTGACAAACAACATTTAACAGACAAAGGCTATTTAACTTTTTTTTTTCTGGCCACCAGGGGAGCTGCTGCTTTTCATCGTCCATCAACGACACCGATGAAGTTCTTCCGCATTCCACATTCCCCGGAGTCTTCTTTCTTTATGGCCTCATAAATTAGTTAAATTTAGCCTCCCACACAAGGTGGTACCTTATTTTCCTACTTGACAGATGCAACTGTCTTTCGGGTTGCAAAGGTCGACAACGGGCTACACAATGGCTGGACACCCACTCCAGCCCGGGCTGGCTTCGAACTCATGACCTTTTGGTCAGAGTGATCTTAATGCAGCTGACACTCAGCCAGCTGCGCCACAATCCCTCATATGCAGAGATGCGGTCGGATAGGTAGCTTGGGCCGGAACCGTTTAGGGCTTTAAAGGCCAACGCCAGCACATTTGAATTCAGCCCGGTAGCAGATCGGTAGCCAGTGGAGTTGGCGCAACAGGGGGTTGTATGCTCCCTGCGCTCCGCTCCTGTTAAAATCATGGCTGCCGAGCGTTGGACTAGTTGGAGCTTCCGAGCTGTCTTCAAAAGCAACCCCACGTAGAGAGCGTTGCAGTAGTCTTGTCTCTCTCCTGAGGAATCTGTACAACACTGGTTCTCAACCTTCCTAATGCCATGACCCCTTAATACAGTCCCTCATGTTGTGGTGACCCCCAACCATAATATTGTTTTCACTGCTACTTCATAACAGTCATTTTACTACTGTTATAAATCATAATGTAAATATCTGATATGCAGGATGCATTTTCATTCACTGGACCAAACTGGGCACAAATACCCAATACACCCAAATGTGAATGCTAGTGGGGTTGGGGGAGGATTGATTTTGTAATTTGGGAGTTGTAGTTGCTGGGATTTATAGTTCATTACAATCAAAGAACATTCTGAACTCCACCAACGATAGAATTGGCTCAAACTTCCCACATGGAATCCCCATGACCATCAGAAAATACTGTTTTTCTTATAGTCTTTGGCGACCCCTCTGACACCCCTTCACGACCCCCTCAGGGGTCCCGACCCCCAGGTTGAGAAACACTGCTGTACAAGGACCAAGTAGCAACAGTCAGAACTGACCACGGAACAACAGACTGGTTCAAGATTGGGAAAGGTGTACGGCAAGGCTGCATACTCTCACCCAACCTTTTTAACTTGTATGCAGAACACATCATGCGATGTGCGGGGCTTGATGAATGCAAAGCTGGGGTGAAAATTGCTGGAAGAAACATTAACAACCTCAGATATGCAGATGACACCACTCTGATGGCCGAAAGCGAGGAGGAGCTGAGGAGCCTGCTAATCAAGGTGAAAGAAGAAAGCGCAAAAGCCGGGTTGCAGCTAAACATCAAAAAAACCAAGATTATGGCAACAAGAATGATTGACAACTGGAAAATAGAGGGAGAAAATGTGGAGGCCGTGACAGACTTTGTATTTCTAGGCTCAAAGATTACTGCAGATGCAGACTGTGGCCAGGAAATCAGAAGACGCTTACTTCTTGGGAGGAGAGCAATGTCCAATCTCAATAAAATAGTGAAGAGTAGAGACATCAGACTGGCAACAAAGATCCGCCTAGTCAAAGCCATGGTATTCTCCATAGTCACCTACGGATGTGAGAGCTGGACCTTAGGGAAGGCTGAGCGAAGGAAGATCGATGCTTTTGAACTGTGGTGCTGGAGGAAAGTGCTGAGAGTGCCTTGGACTGCGAGAAGATCCAACCAGTCCATCCTCCAGGAAATAAAGCCCGACTGCTCATTGGAGGGAAGGATAGTAGAGGCAAAGTTGAAGTACTTTGGCCACATCATGAGGAGACAGGAAAGCCTAGAGAAGACAATTATGCTGGGGAAAGTGGAAGGCAAAAGGAAGAGGGGCCGACCAAGGGCAAGATGGATGGATGGCATCCTTGAAGTGACTGGACTGACCTTGAAGGAGCTGGGGGTGGTGACGGCCGACAGGGAGCTCTGGCGTGGGCTGGTCCATGAGGTCACGAAGAGTCGGAGACGACTGAACGAATGAACAACAACAACAAGCACAAAAACAGTACTTATTTATTTATCACTAGCTGGAGCCCCCGGTGGCACAGTGGGTTAAACCCCTGTGCCGGTAGGACTGAAAACCGACATGTCGCAGGTTCGAATCCGGGGAGAGGTGGATGAGCTCCCTCTATCAGCTCCAGCTCTTCATGCGGGGACATGAGAGAAGCCTCCCACAAGGATGATAAAAACATCAAATCATCCAGGCGTCCCCTGGGCAACGTCCTTGCAGACGGCCAATTCTCTCACACCAGAAGCGACTTGCTCCTAACACGACAAAAAAAAATCACTAGCTGTCCCCTGACACACGTTGCTGTGGCCCAGTCTGGTGATCTGGAAAATAAAGTAATGAGAAAGTGTTGGTTTCTAATAATAATAATAAAATAATAATAATAATAAAACTTCCCATCTCCCCAAGGGACTCGGAGCGGCTTACATGAGGCCAAGCCCAACCATACATCAATAAACAACAACAATAAACAAAGCAGAAAATACAATACAATTAATATAAATCACATATAAACAATAACCAATAAACAGTAACACACAAAATTTTAAAAACCTATGGCCGGACCAAATGTAATGGTTTAAAAATTAAAAAATAAACGCTGGGCATGAACAAGGTCGGATATAACTGGTATAGGGTTTTCAAAGAGAGATGAGGGAACGCAGTCAATTCTGACCAGTAGTAAAGTGCATTCTGAGGGCGTATTGCTGAAAGTTTTATAATAATAATAATAATAATAATAATAATAATAACAACACTTTATTTGTACCCCGCTACCATCTCCCCAAGGGACTCGGTGCGGCTTATATGAGGGCAAGCCCACAATACATCAATAAACAGAACACCAATAAAATAAAACATCAATAAACAATCAATGCAATATAAACCATAATCACATAAACAAAATAAACAATAAGCAATCAACAGTAACATATAAACATTTAAAACCAATGGCCAGGCCAAATGTGATAGATTAAAATTAAAAAAATAGTGCTGATGTGAACCAGGTAGGATATAATTGGGATAGGATTTTTAGAGAGAATGAGGGAATGCAGTCAATCCTAAAGCAGTAGTAAAGTGCATTTTGAGGACATAATGCTGAGAGTTTTCCCTATTCTGGGAAGGCACACTGGAACAGCCATGTTTTCAGGCTCCTCCTAAAGACTGCCAGAGTTGGGGCATGCCTGATGTCCTTGGGAAGTGAGTTCCAGAGTCGGGGGGCCACCACCGAGAAGGTCCTCTCCCTCGTCCCCACCAATCGCGTCTGCGAAGGAGGTAGGAGTGTGAGCAGGGCCTCTCCAGATGATCGAAGAGATTGTGTGGGTTCGTACACAGAAATACGGTCACGTATTTGTAATTTCTTTATGCTTGTGGGAAAACAGTATTTCTTGTTGTTTCTTTGTCAGTGTTGATGTGGAGATTGTCAGGTTTGCCTACTCTGGAACATGCAACAGCCACGAGAGTATCGAGAATATCTCTCTCGATATTAGGAAGCTATTTCTTGATTTCAGTGGCTGGTGTGCTGGCTAATATCCAAACAGAGGATGGGCCAGAGATGTCACTGCCTTGGTCCTTTCATTAGTCTGCTACCTTCTGACAGTTGTCAGGTGATGCAAAACCAGCTAAACAGTATAATTCCTACAGCAGTGTAGGGCGTAGACATCCTGTGATAGTGTGGCATGTCTCATTAAGAGCTACATCCACAGTTTTAACATGCTGAGATGTATTCCACACTGGGCATGTGTGCTCAGCAACAGAGTAGCAAAGCGCAAAGGCAGATGTCTTCACTGTGTCTGGTTGTGATCCCCAGGTTGTGCCAGTCAGCTTTTGTATGATATTATTTCTAGCACCCACTTTTTGCTTGATATTCAAGCAGTGCTTCTTGTGAGTCAGAGCACAGTCCAGAGTGACTCCCAGGTCTTTGGACGTGCTGCAGTGTTCTAGTGGGATTCCTTTCCAGATAATCCTCAGAG